TGCATTCTGCACAATAGCTGGAAGCGATTGAGGTTAAGTGGCCTCGCTCTCTGATGTGTTAGTATTACTGAGCACTCTCTGCCCATGTGACTCGGTGCAATCTGCTCTTGGAACACGTCGCCATGGCAACTGATGATTTCTATTACAGTACATTCAAGTTCACATTCTAGGCCTGTCATACGCTTGGAAATTTCCAGTTAAAATATTTATTTATGAAAAAGGCAAAAAAAAAAAAAAAAGCCACCCCCAGATTCTTTCAGGGATAGAAAACAAAAAAGGTGCCCCAATGCAGGATGATTTATCTGAAGATGAGAAGAGATTGTTGCATTTGTCACTTAGCTGTTGCCACCAAACAAAAAATTCCCAATGGGGTGACCAACTTTGTTGGGCAGAGGGGAAGTTGGAATCTTCCCCACTGTGGTGTGTATGTAAGTGTGAGATCTGTCTGAGTACAATGACAGAAGTGGCCTGAAAAACCTGCAGATCAGAATTTCCACTTGGCTCTCCAGGAACATGGTTCCAATTTCAGCTTCATTTTAGTCAACCCTTAGTTGGGAAAAGAACTGCACTCACCCCTCAGCCTTGAGGAAGGGGTAGAAGAACCTCTTTTTGGATGGGGCATTATTCTGGGGTCCCCAGGGCTTCTCAAGCTGACCCCAGGGGAGGAGAAGACAGCCTGCAACACAACATGGCCGACTTCACGTCCCCAGAAAGACATCTGTGCAACTTTCCATGTGCATCTCCCGGGTACTGCCCCCGGGGCCCTGGGCACTTCCAGCACTTTCAAGAAGACGTCTGTTTAAGTTTGTATGTGCCTGCTGGCTTCTCCCTGGAGAAAGACAGCTAAGGGTTAAATTAAACTTTTCTGAGAAAGAAAGCATTATTTCCCTGCCATACACTACACAGAGAAGGGTTGCTAACAAGGCCTCCTAGCTTTGTATACTTTTTCTCCTTAATCAAGTACATTAAATAGGTTAATAAAATATTCCCCAGTGCTTTCTCTATCAGAAGCTACCAGGTGGCTGCAGTGACTCTAGGTGCCCAAGTATATGGTCAGGGCATCCCACAACTCACAGATGCCTCTATCCAGGTATTAAAACTTCCAGGATCCTTTTCTGCATTGTAGCTTCTATTGTACCTGATTGGAAATATATCCTGGCTCCTAGCTAGAACCACTTTGCTTAGTGTTAGTAGTGTTTCTGAACTTGCCCCATTATAAGAGTCACAGGACAGCTTATTTAAAATACATATTCCCAGTGTACCCAAGGGTACCCTTAGACTTACTGAGTCAGAATCACCAGGGAGAGGCGTTAGAGTCTGTATTCCTACAATCCAGCAAATATGAGTAGCACTGCACTTAGATTGTAAAGCTTATTGGCAATATTAGGGCTATCTTTCAAAAATTATCCCACTGACATACTCCTAATGTCTCTGTATGAGTCACTGAGCCAGAAGTCTTCTGGGAAATTGCTAACCATTATTGGTATAAAATGTGGGGGGGAAAAGATTGGAAAATATTAAAGAAATGTAAAGACTAGATTGATGGTTGTGGTTCTAGAGATTCCCCAATGGAAGTATGAATTAATACAATCCTGTAAATATGAAAGTCTGTTCTATGCAACCAAATAGTCATCCCATGTGTAAGAATATAGCTTCTTCAAATGCAGATGAACCAATATTATAACCTATCATTCCCAGGAAAGGAGTATTGTGCATGTAGAACAGATAGAACTATTTGGGGATGAGGGGTGAATCACAGGGTTAAATTTTTAGTCCCACTCAGCAGCTCTGTCTATGAGGATTTACAAGGTGTTATGTTTATAGATTGCTGACTGCACATGCAAGAAGATAGGAGAGGAACATAAAAGATGGCGGCACTAAAACCAGAAATCTGGCCAAGAGGTGGGGGTTCTGCATTCAGCAGAGAAGATAACAAGTCTAGAAGAACCCCTGCACCCTATTCTTACCCTGTCTCTGCTTGTTGAGGAACTCTAGGTAAAGACTCTAGGTCACTACCACTGAAAATGCTCATTCTCCCATAGAGGGGGAGTGTGAGAGGAGTGGGAGATTGCTGAACTTTCAGTTGTCCTGATAATCCAAAAGGGTGAGCTGGTAGGCACTTAGAGACATTAGAGCAGCCATGGGTTAGTTCTTGAATCAATTCAAGAGTTCCAGATAACTCTTTCATGCACATACACACATCCAATCCTGAGAGCTCAGAAGATTTAACATGCGTTTTCTAGAGCAAAGGGCCGTGGATCTGGATGTCACTTGTTCAGATTTTGGAATGGATTACAGACCTGTAAGGCCCCCTATCCAGCGAAGGAAACTGCCAAACCCCAGCCCAGAATGGCTCTGGCCTAGCCCAGCCATGTGTGGGGCAGCAGCGTCATCTAGTGATCCTATGGTTTAAGTACAAGCTCTTTTCCTAGGAACTGTCCAATTTGATCAAGCTGTCATGACATTGGTTATCTATATTAATGAATGAAAATGTTGCATATATAACCCCAAATTGGAAATTGCCCCCAATTCCATTTTTATTTTTTCTGGAATGCTTTTTTTTGACTATGTTTTCCACTTAGGTTTTCCATCAAGTAACATAAAAGAGAGTATGGTTGATCTCATGCCTGGTGGGCTATGGGGGTAGAGCAGGACGGTTTAGCAAGGTTAGGAGGAGGCTTGGTGCTGTGTCTGTTCAGCTTGTCCAAGACACAGATGCTGAAATGGAGTTATAAGTACGAGATTTAATGGGATTAACACATATGAAGGAAAATGGGGGGCTGGGGGCTGGCATAGGCAGGGAGAGCCTTAACACCACCATGCAGGTCTGATGTCTGTGGAAAGGAGAGGGGGAGGAAGAAGATGGGTGGAAGAGCCTCAGACTGCAGTTCAGCTGGAGAAGGGCTTGGTCAGCCAACCAGGCAACCTGGTGCAAAGTCCATCTGTAGGGAAGTCCTGCACTGGCCAGGAAAGGTGACCCCTGCTACCAATCCTGTGCTGGGAGTTGCCCTGGAGATACAGCTGGAGGCTATCAGCTCACTTCACTCCCTGCAGCAGGTTCTGTCTTGAAGACAGACCTGGGCAGTATGACTCTCTGGCTGCCCTGTACTCAAAGGAAAGCATCCCAATGTCACCTATTCATCAGCAGGCTCCTATGTCTATACAGACACTATCAAATAGAGAGACACTAGACTGATGCACCTAAATTGAGGAGTGTAAAATCTAGCTCTTGTTCTCATTTCATTAGCTAGTGTAAAATAGAAAGAGAAACTCCTGAGCAGCATTTATCAATCTTGCCTTTCTAAATAGCAAGCTGCCTGGCCTCCGTGGGGCACTCTCTGTCCAGGAAACCAAGTTCAATGTCAACAACCTGGAACACCAGTGGCACTTTAGCTTCTTTGTGGATAATGGATTTGGGGCTGAAAATATCTATATCCTGCCCAAGGCATGAGTATTGACCTCACATCTGTGCTGATTCTCTCCCTCCTGTAAGTGGTCTTTGATGCTGTTGACTGTGAGACACCACTGCCCTGGTGATATGACCTGATCTCTGCATTTAAAAACATTAAGGAACTTGCTCAAGTTCAAGGATTTTCAGAAATCCAATTTGGGTGAATTAAGAAACCCAGATAGCACTACAGGCAAGGGCACAAAGTTTTCAAATCACAGTTAAGCCACAAAGGCCCAGGATACCTTGAATAAAAAATTCAAGGAGCCGCTTGACAAAGAACCTTGAAAAGATCTAAGGGTGGAAGAAAGCCCACTGTGGAAATAGAGAAAGGATGAGGAAGCACCTGAAAAAAATGAATGCACAAACTCTAAGGCTTATCAAGGAAAGAAAGATAAGCTCAGCAGAGAAAGTCGAATGAGTTAACACCACCAAAGAGGTTACAGGCAGGGAAACTGGGCTGGGAAGAAGGAAGCCTGGGCAATAAAGTGGCTGGACTAATAAATGAGAAGGGGAGTGAAATTAATGATGACTCTGAGTGGCAGAGATACCGCGCTGCTCTGTTAAATTGGTCTTTAACAAGAAAAATAAAGGAAGGGAGCATAGATAATTAGGAAGTAATGAAGACCTTTAAATATAGATGTTGAAATAAACCAGGTAAGGGAATACTTAAAAACATGGCACAATATGTAAATCAGCAGGTCCAGATAATGCGCATTCTCCAGCCTTAAGGGAATTAGTTAATGAACTTGCTGAACTACTAGCCATTATTTTCAAAGGCTCCAAGAGACTGGGGATTATAAAACGAAAATATTTGACCAGTCTTTCACCAAATAAAAAAAAGTAGTCTTGATAATTACTATACCTGCCACTATATATACTCCCCACCTCATGGGGATGCTGTAATGACCAATGGAATTAGAAATATTAATCCACCAAGAGGAAAACAGGGAGGGGAGGGGAGTGGCTGGTGGAGATGCACTTGATCCAGGCTGATGGACTAGAGCGAGGTCATGTTAGAAGGAGAAATGCAGATATTTGACTCTCTGTTCAAAGGAATGCATTTGAGGGTTGTGTAATTATATAATTTTTTTTGTTTTTCAGACTGATATAAAATCAGTTTAGATTCCCAGAAAAAAAGCAAGAAAGTCTTCATAGTAGATGCCAATCTATAATGTTAAATTTTTTAATTCTCTAAGGATGATCCAGTTAGATAATGGCATACAGGCAGTATCAAAAATCTGGGCTTTATCTCTTTTTTTAAAAGGATTTATTTATTTATGCATACAAGATGCAGGGGTGCAGGCTAGAGATGCAGGGGGTGAGAGGACTCACCAGAGACAGAGTGGGGAGCAGAATAGGCGGATCTACTGAAAGAAACTACTGAGGGGAGCAGCAGGCGAGACAGGAGAGGTCTGCTGTGTCATGTGGGTCACCTCCCTGGCAGGGGATTGAACTTATGCTGCAGTGGCTGCAGATATCTTCATAGTGCTGTGTCTTAACCCCTTGTGCCACCACCAGAGAGGCCCTCTCTTTTTTTTTTTTTCAAGTTTCAGATATTTATTAATCAGTGTAAACCCTAAATTTACCAATGTAATTTGTGCATTTGCAAGGGAAATATTTACTGGTTAGGTGGAAATCATGCCGATAGTTTCTGGAAGACCTTCATTTTGAGCAGATTTATAATGAAATATTTCGTTTAGAAGTCTGGCCTCTCTTTCTTCTGTCATCTGTTTGCTGTCATCTTTGACTGAACAGATCTTGCAATGATCCTTGGACTCAGTTTGTTCCAGTATTCTGGGTTATTCTTTCTGTCCCAACTGACACCTGCATTGAACGACTCCAAGCACATGACATAAAGTACTACTTCAGTATCTCTGCTCCAAAATATACAAAGAGGAGAATCAAGTTTGAATGTTTCTTGGCCTGACCCAGGTTCTGGCAGAGTATGGCCTTCGAGCCAAGAGAAGAGCACAAATTTGCAAGACCTGGAAATAAGTAGTTTCTGCCCCAAGATTTCCCTTTAATAAATACACAACACAAGTTACTCTTTAATTTAACCAAAATAAGTAATACATCTTTCTTGTATCAAAAAAAAAATCCATATTGATAAAAAGGCAATAGTAATGATCACCTAAAATACTTCCTACCCATGCTTATAAAATTTGGTATATTTGTATCCATAATTTTTCCCATGAAAATAAACAATATAAAAGTTATTTTTATAAAAATTGAATGGTCCTATGTAGGGAATATGCATATTCATATATATATAAATAAAGTACAAAACTGTGTTCCCCACTCACTATAACATGCACAGCTTTCCCTCATTTTAAATTGCTAATTGTTATTTAACCAATAACTTAATGTCACTTAGATGATTTTTTCTTTTTGTCAACAGTAATTCTGTAACTAATATCCTTAAACAAACATATTTATATATTTATTCTTTCCTTTCCTTTGAATAAAATCCTGTAAGGGGAGTTGCCAGAAAATTGTCCTTTTTGTAAGATTGTTGTTCCATATTGCTAATTACTTTTCAAGAAAGAAAACAATTAACATTCCACAAACAATAAATGAAAATTCCAGTTTCCTAACAAACTGGAGTTAAAATATTTTTCAATCTTTCAATTCAACACCATTTTAACGTCCTAAAACAATTGACTGTAGGTTATTAGATGGAACAAAACACCTGAGGATATTTATTATGTACTTTCTATATACTGGTCTTAAACTATTTAGTGATCTCTCTCTCTCTCTCTCTCTCTCTCTCTCTCTCCCCCCTCCCCCCTTCCTTTTTCCCACCTGCCTTTCTTTTTGAATCATAACTGCGTTTTTCCACAACTTGAGTAAGAAACTCAGACACTGGCCTCCCCTGGTGGCGCAGCGGTTGAGCGCTGGGTTGTGAGGCTGCTCGTAGCCTCTGTAGTGCCAGTTCAATCCCCGGCCACCGGCAAGGGTCCCACAAAAAAAAAAGAAAGAAAGAAACTCAGACAGCACTATTCAGAATAACAGTCTGGCACTATCTTAATATAGTTAAACAATTGCAAGCCACAAACCAGGAACCATGTTATAGAAACACTTGCATGACATCATAAGAATGCCCACGAACACATCCTGCCACCTATCTGTCCTTAGCAAGGAACTGCCAACAGCCTAACGGTACATCTGCAGGAAGGAAGATGAGTAAATGTGCCATGTCCCAGCACTGTGACAGAGCAGTGGAATGGATGTAGCACAGCTAACTGCATTCCGTGCAGATGAATCTTGAAAACAATGTTGAAAGAAAATAGCAAATTGCATAAGATGAAGTACAGCATGATAAAAATTTATAAAGCTCAAAAGCAAGCAAAGTTAATTAACATATTAAAGACACATTCTTCATTGATAAAGGCATGTTTTCATCAGGTAAATAATAAACACAAATTTCAGGATGGTGAATTCAGGTGGTGAGCAGAAAGGCAGGGTCAGAGGAGTGAAACAAAGGGAGCTCTTTAGAGACATCATGAGGGATGTTTCAGTTCCTAGAGGGATCACATATATTCAGGTATTTTTCTGCTTCATAACTGACATGTGTGTTCTGAACATCTGAATCTATCAGACAGAGAGAAGATTGTTACTGCACATTCACTAGTTAGCAAATTTCATTTTGCTAATACTTTAAATAGTGCCCTGATGTCCCCAAAGAGCAAGTGTAGTTTTTCACTGCTAAAACCAGACCCCACACCTTACTGCCTTTGCACCTGCCACTGCGAATATAATACCAAGCCTCTCCAGAGGGTTCCACAATCCTCCAGAGAAGTGGCTTTGCCCTCACAACCTTAAGTGGAGAATTCCCTCCACATTGGAGAATCAGGGAAAGAGAAAAAAGAACCAGAATGTACAGCAGATACAACTTCTGATGGAATTCCCTATGCTCAGTGCTATGACCTTACCAATTCACCTGTACTCTTCTAAAAATACATCCCCAGTTCTGGGAAATAGTTAGAGGAAAATAGCCTATTTTTAAAGGAGAGGTCCTAAATAGCTAAGTCATTTTGCTTAAGCAATGAGCCAAGTCACTTCTAATGAGGTTGTAGCATTACTGGAAATAAGAGTTATATTTAAATAAATAGTCCATACATTACCCCAATAAATCACTTGAAAAATAATCTAGAATGTACTAACTATATTTTTAGTGGCATGTGCCTGACCTTTCGGAAAGAGAAAAGATAATGCTGGAACATTTTGAGAATAAACATTTATCCAAATTAGTAGTTAAGACACTAGTGAAATTGTTTTACATTTTCTTAACACCTTTAACTATACCAAATGCTTCAGAAACAATCTATTTTTCCTACCTTTAATAAAATACAGAATCTGTCTGTAAAGGAGAAGAAATATAAAGCAGAAACTTTTTTGATGACCCAATGAGAAATCCTATAATGGTCCTATTACTTCGACGCCTCGGGCAGGATGGATATACGTATTTGCAACATTTCATAAAATGGCTTGCAGTCCATAAAATGTTAGTTTTTTATTACTGTGTTCCGAGTGTTTTAAAATCTATGCCATATTCTTTTTCATAATATTCACAATAAAAATGTAAATAAGAACCCATTTATTCATTCAACAAACATGTTCTGAGAACCTGCCCTCTCCCTGGTACTCTGCTGGGGACACACAAGTCTTTTCTCAAAGTCATCATAACCTAGGATGTCTTATAAAGCCCCATGTATTAAATCTGCATCTGAACTTTTTTACGTTATATTCCACTGCCTGAAAAAATAATAATTATTACATTGTTCGCCAGAGAGCACTCCAGGTTGAGACTTGCAGGGGAGAAGTTCGTGCCTGTCTTACTCATCTCCCAAGCTCCCCCCACCTCTCCCTTACCCCCTCACTCTGCTTTTCCCATTTAGCCTAGTTTTCTACTCCCCCACCAACCTTCCTTCCTCTACCTTCCCTTCCTCTCCCCCCACCCCTTCCTTTACTATAAAGCTTCTAGAAAAACAGTCACACCGCTCTCTCCTCCAAGAATCTCCTTTTCAACTAAAGCATAATTTCAGCCTCTGTTCTACCCGCCCTGTACACATTAAGGAAAGTGGTGGCTTCCTGGTCTCTAAAATAATGGCCTGATTTTCCTCATCTTACATGAATGTGTGTAGCAGCTGACCCTGTGCACCCTGCTGTCATTTCTCTGTATTCTCCCCTTTGGAGAGGTCCTCCTGCTGGTTTTCTTCTGGGGCTCCTTCTCAGTCCTCTCTGCCAGCTTTTCCTAGGCCCATCCAATCGAGATAGGTACTCACACCACAAACAGCGCCCCCCTCTTATCCTGCTGGGAGTTCTCTTGTACCACCTATAGTCACATATCACTGCCCACCCAAACTTGTCCCTTTTCCTGGAATGTTGTCCTTTATGTCCTCATCTCACTCATAACCCTTGTCTCTATCTGCCTGAATCCACTCATCTTCCAGGGACTTACATAAAAGGAAGTCAGCGTGTAATGGCAGAGGGCATGGCCTCTGGAGTCAGGTAGTATCCGTTCAAATCCTGATTCTGCACCCAGGAGCTATGTGACATCACACAAGTTACTGAACCTCTCTGTTTCTTCATTTCCTCAGCTACAGGATGAAGAGAATAATAGTATCAGGCTCCAAAAATTGTTATGAGAATTAACAAATTAGTATTCATAAAGTCCTTGGAACAGTGCCTGAAACGTGGTAAGTACCATGTGTTTGTTTTAGACTTTAAAAAAAAAAAATTCAACTTAAAGTATTTTCCAAATGCCCAAGCTTTTACTGACCCCTTACTAGCCCACTTACCACCATGTATATTATATATTTTTAAGGTCTCCCCAGTATCTCTGTGCTTCCTTGGTCAGGAACCCTGTCCCACTCATTTCTGTATCCCAGCCTGGCACAAAGCTGCTCTCAGCAAATGTTTGTTGAATGAGTGGAAGATTGAAATAAATGGTTTTCCAAGGCCTCTCCATCTTAGTGGTAAATCAGAAAACATAAGCCTAGAATTTCCTTGCAAGGCATTTTGGCCGGGGGGTGAGGTTGGGGTATTTGTGAGGCACCAGCATTTTCCATTTCCTCAATTTCTTCAGCCCAGTAAACTGATCTGGTGACAGGAGCCATAACAGTGCCAAGCCCAGTTAATCCAAACCAGAATGGCACAGGCTGTGCCTTTCTGTATCACATCAGTGGAGTTTTATTTTCCATCCTTCATACCTGTTTCCTTCTCTGTGTGTAGTTAATGAGCTTTACATTTAAAACATGAAAAGCCAATAAAACATGAAAATCACAAATCAACAGTGCTTTGTTCAAGAATATCCTATTTAATCAAGAAACTTTCCCAAGTGATGCATTTAATTCAACCACCAGGTGCCAGGTGGCAATAGGTGCTGGAGGGGGAGGCCGAGGGAGTCTGTCAGGAGAGAAAAGCTGTGCTCCTTCCCGTGGGGGGGACTCACAGTGCCAGAGATGATTAGAACACGCCATCCTCCTCCTGACAAGCATCTTTAGAAATCAAAGCTGTTCCCATAACCTACTAATGCATCTGTACCTTTAATTAGCCCAATCAAGCATACAACTTCGTAAAATCTCTCACCTTTTTTGCTCCTTTCAACTAATTTCTGAACATTTCATTTCTGAGTAAGCTTTCACTGCCTAACAAGCAGTAATGAAATGACCAACATTAACCCATTGTTAGATTAAACAAAGTACATCCCTGGCTGATAGCATTCTATATTGTTGGGGTTGGAAATGTGTCCTCTCCTATGATGAAAACATTTGGTATTTGCCTAATGAGACCATTCTTGTACCTATAAAGGAAAAAAAGACATTGTATTAAAACACTGCATGTTAAAACCAGCATGTTCAGCACTTTCCACTCTCAGCCACATCTGTGGGTGAGGCAGGTTTCTCGATATTAAATGCTGCAGTTGGGCCCATATTCTTAGAAGATGTCTGATTGGCTACTCCCCAAATATAACTTAAATTGGCTTAAAATAGAACAATCACATGCTAACCCAGTAGCATTAGCAACTCTATTAACAGCCAATTTCACATCCACACCAGAGGGAGTAAAAGGTAATTTGCTCATTATCAACACCCTCTGGCAGTGGAAGGAAATGACTGTTCATCAGAAAGTATTTTCCAACATAACAATAGCAGCGCCCATATGTAACCACCTCACTCTCCCTTCCCTCCATGACTTGATCACTGGAGAGCAGCGATAGGAAAAAACACTTTCAGATACAAATGAATTTGATATGAGATGTCTACCTGCACCCCCTTCCAAAATCAGTCCTACCTTCATCTCACCTCAACCCTTTAGGGTCACAAATGACAGGAGAGGGGGCACTACAGATCCCACTACCGCAGAAATTGTTCAGCTCAATAAAGGGTCTAAGTTCTGGCCCTTTCACTAAGAAGTACTTCAGAGTACTTTAACCCAAACAGCTGAGACAATTTTTGGAGCCACTGTGACCAAATCTAATCAGTAGACTTATTGTGTAATGGAAGAAAATGAAACATTCAAAAACACAGTATTTAAATCTCACCCATCGGGCCTCCCCTGGTGGCGCAGCGGTTGAGCGCTGGGCTACGAGGCTGCCCGCAGCCTCTGCAGTGCCAGTTCATTCCCTGGCTGCTGGCGAGAGTACCACAAAAAAAAAAAAAAAAAAAAAAAATTTCACCCATCACTTGCGTAAATATTTCTTAGTAAATATTTCTTCAAAAATTAAGGTCTTTTATTTGTTTGCTTATAATCAGTGCTTAGTAAACCTTAGTCAGGTGTGTTTATGTATTGGGACATGTTACTTGTAGTAAAATTATAAGAAATACCTCTTACTTTATCACTCTGCTTAACTGGCTGTTTTTATTTGAGAATAGTCATCTCCAAATTCTTGCCTAGCTCCCTGGGCCTTCCTCCTTACCTAGCTCCCTGGGCTTCCTACTTGCCTAGCTCCCTGGGCTTCCTACTTCTGTCTACCCTGTCTCCTGTACACAGAGGCCAAGCTTATCTGCCTGAAACAACTTGGGAGGTGTCACTCCCCAGCTCAAAAATCTTCAGTGGCTCCCTGTTGCCTACAGATAAGCTCCAGATTCTGCATCCTAGCTCTTAAAGATTTTTCTCAACCATGCCACTGGAGTCAGAAACCTACTTTTCTGACTCTAGTGGGAAATTCCCATTTTTCCCCAGCATCCTAGAATACAGCCCAGATCCCCTTATCAGAATATAGGACAAGGGCAAATATAACCATCTTCATAAAGTCTTTCCTGATTGTTCCAATGGAAAGTTGTCTACTGCATCTATGAACTACAGTAACCGTTTGGACTACTCTGCTTTATCTCAGTTGCTGTCAGGTGGTGCTTCTCCCACCAGAACTTGAAAATGAGGGAAAGATTGTTCTAGGTGAGATGAACTATATACCCAGAGTCACCTTAGAGAGACAGAATAGCTCTCAGCCCTGCAAACCCCAACTAGTCCAAAATAACAATCAGCCTCATGATGCAGAGAAGGGAAAACATAGTCATGGAGGAATGGTGTCTGTACCCTTACTAGTGATATCCAAGAGACAGGGAAACTTACCCAGCAAACTGGCAGTACCAGCCCCATTGGCAGGACCTTTGCTATCTGAGATAGTTACCTGAAGCTTTTCTAGCCAGTTGCCATTCAACACCGGACTCTTTAAGTGTCCTTAAATTCTAATTCTGTTGTTCAAAAATCAATTTGGTTTGTCATGTTGGTTGACCTAGAGAGAGAGAGAGAGAGAATATGCTGGTCACACAGTGAGTTTTCCATTTCCCATACCAATGATTTCTCACCATAAATTAGTTCATTGGCTTCATTTTTTTCAGTAAATATTCCTAAACATCTACTATGTGCCAAGAACTTGTCTATTCACTTGAGACAAGATGATGAACAAGAAAAAAACATAGTCCCTTGCTCTAAGGAGTTAACAGTCTGAGGGGGACACAGATAATTCCAGTATAGTGTGAACATCCCAGGTAGGGATCTTCAGGGACACAGGATTGAAAGGAGAACCCAGGGTAGGGGAGCAAGAAATGACTGTGAAGGAAATGATAATTACCTCAAGTCTTGAGGCATCAACTGGAATTAGCCCAAAGAAGATGGGAGGGGGGGGAAATTGAATGATGCATGTAGCATAAGCAGCATGGGCAAATGATGGAAAGTATGTGTGAGAATCTGAGTACAGCTTGGTAGAGCTTTGGTGGGGAATGTGAAGAAGGGTAGGGAGGAGGATCAGGAAAGCAGGGCACAGATCACAGAGGGGTATGTAAGACATTTTTAAGAATTTTTGAAAGGTTTTTAAGCAAGTAAATGACATGATCAAATCTCTCATTGCTGGAGGAATGGACAGTGCCATTGGGATGTAGAGGAGAGGGCCAATAGAAGATTTATTTAAAAGCCCTGGTGAGTGGTTGGATGAGGGGCTGGGAGTGGAAGTGGAGTGAGGGGAAGTGTGAGAGAAGAATCAAGACAGTGCTTGAATTTTTCGGCCTGAACAAATGGATCGGGTGGAGGGGCCTTTCACAGGGGCAGCATATAATACTGGTGAGGAGAACAAAACTCCAGAGTTAGGCCACCTCAGTTCAAATCTTTACCACTTACTCCCATGTAGTCTCAGCCAACCTACCTAACCTCTGTGTGCCTCATTTTCTCATCTTTAATGAAGTTAACCAGAAAACTTTTATCGTAGTTATTTTGCAGATTGACATGAGTTGATAGCGACATGCTCAGAATTGTGTGTGGTACATAATAAATGTTATATGTCTTTGTTAAATAAATAAAAACAGGTGACAGAGAAGGAATAACAAGTTTGGCATAGAGGATTCTGTGTGTAGTTTGGGAGATGTTGAGTTTCAGAGATCTGTGAGACAATCAAAAATGTTCAGGGACACATGTAGATCTGGAGCGCCAATGAACGTCAGTGGTGGAGATTGTGTTCTGGAAGCAGTCCTCATGTGAATTGGAACACTGGATGGCATAGAGCAAAAGGATATAGAAAGGATATATGAGAAAGAGGAAGACCAAACAAGATAGTACCTTGGAAACTATTTCAGAAATGGGCAAAAGGAGAGGTACTTGATGAGGAAAATGAAGAGCCATCAGAAAGATAGAAAGAGAACTGAGAGAGGATCTCAAAACCAAGGACAGAAAGCATTACTGGAAGGAGAAAACAGCCACATGTGTTAAGTTTGTCAAGTATAATAAGGATCCAAAAAAGACCATTGGAACTGACAACAAAAATTTGACCTTGAGTCTTCCCCGGTGGCGCAGGCGGTTGAGCGCTGTGCTGTGAAGCTGTGTGCGGCCTCTGCAGCATGGGTTCGATCCAGGCCAGCCAGTGAGAATCCCACATGCGAAGCAGACCTCTCCTGTCTCACCCGCTGCTCCCCTCAGCAGTGTGTTTCGTCAGTCTGCCTGTTCTGTTTCCTGCTCTGTCTCCGGTGAATCCTCTCACCCTCCTGTACATCTAGCCTGTACCCCGGTTCTTATAAAAAATAAATAAATCTTTAAAAAAAAAAAAAGAAAAGAATTTTAAAAAATATTTGACCTTGGCCAAAGATAGTTGCTGCCGCTGCGGTGGCAATGGTAAGGTAAAAGTGAGAGGGGGGGAGAGGAGAAACACAAAGATGATGAGCACAAACCATTCACAGAGAGTGGAGAGGAGAGGGGTAGCCAAAAGACAGAAGTTAAAAGATGTTTTTTGTATAATGGGGAATACTTGAATATATTTAACTGCTGTTATGGGTTAAATTGTGTCCTTCAAAATTCGTATAGTGAAGTCCTAATCCCCAATACCTGAGAATATGACTGCATTTGGAAATAGGGTCGTTACAGATATTATTTGTTACAATGAGGTCTCACAAGAGTCAGGCAGACTCCTAAACCTGACTAATGTCCTTATAAAAGGGGTATTTGGAGATAGAAAGGCACACAGGGACGATGCCCTGTGAACTTGAAGACTGAGACAGAGTGTGGAGAGGAACCAGAGCTAGGTGAGAGGCAAGACAGATACTCCACAGTCCTCAGAAAGAACCAGCATCTCCAACATCTTGATCTTTGGCTACTGGACTCCAGAACTGCAAAACAAAAAAATTCTGTTGTTTAAGTCTCCCAATTGTGGGACCTTGTTATGCCAACCCTAGGAAAAGCATTCAGTTGCTAATGGTACTTTCCAATATTTATCGTATTAGTCAGAGACCCAGCAGGAAGTAGATGACTTGCTCCAACTGAGTAACTCCTGAAATATTTCATAAGGGACTAGGTGTAAAGCTGTGGGCAGGATGTAAGGGAGCTACAGGGTACTCAGACAGAATAAGAGTGGGCCTTGATGACCCCCCACACCTCAAGGGTGGGGAGAGGAAAAAGGCCCCCCTGAAAAGCAGCTGCATGGAAAGGACCCCTATAGAACTATGACCCAACCCTCAGTCAGTCCTGGGGACCTGCCAGACTGGATCTTAGAGCACACCTGCAAATTTGACACAGTCCTCCCTCTGATCTCCTGCTCATGCTCCACATGGGACCAGCCAATCCAAGGCCAGAGGTCAAGGGAGTAGTTGATGCAGCTCCCGCAGTTCCACCTCCTGGGGCAGCAAGGGAAACAGGAGAGGGGTAGAGAGTAAAAGTGAGGGGCCAGCAGAAACCAAGTCCAAAGCCTTTTCACATTTTACAACAACTTGACTACATAGGTAAATGTTTAAACTCAAAAATGCTAATAAAAGAATCATTACAGGGCCTCCCCGGTGGCTCATCGGGTTGAGTGCAGCACTGTGAAGCTGTCCGCAGCCTTTGCAGTGCAGGTTCTATTCCTAGCCGGCCAGGGAGATAACCACATGGCACAGCAGACCTCTCCTGTCTCGCCCGCTGCTCCCCTCAGGAGTATATTTCGGTCCTTCTGCCTGTTCTGTTCCCTGCTCTGTCTCTGGTGAATTTTCTCACCCTCCCATGCCTCTGGCCTGTGCCCCAGTGCTTGTATAAATAAATAAATCTTAAAAAAAAAAAAAAAAAGAATCATTACAGAGGGAGAGGCTGCAGTTCTGAGACTGCGCTGTGCAAGGCCCCTGCAGGAGGGTTATAGGCAGGTTATGGCAACAGTATTCTCGTGCTTGTATTTGTGTTTGCAATTGTACATTTCTGCTTCACCCAGTGTATACTGGGTTCTTAGCGCTTTTGAATTATTGGGGGGAAATCAGTATATTCTCTATTTCTTTACTTTCATCTTTGGAAATATCCATTGAGGAGGACTTTTTCTACTATCACCTAACCTCTTTGAAGTGATGGAGATGTGTCTCTATTTTTCTAAGATACTTTTTGAGAGAGGACTGATCTGTTTTAAAATATGAGCTGATACAAAGCAAGAAGTGACTAAGTGAAGCTTCTGTTTATAGCACAATCAGTAAGAATCATTTCTTTTTATCTATGACCATAAACATTTAATTAACTAAACAAAAGACTATGTATGTATACGTTATCATTTTTATATAGCTATGAACTAAATTTAGCCAATGCTTTATTTAGAATGGACTCTTAAAGGGGGACTAGCTCAAGGGACTATAATGATGAACTGTGGGTGCTTTGGTGGTAGGAAAACTACAGTGACTATGCCTGAGATGAGCAATCATATAGTGTCCAAAAATCTACAATAATGTAAGGATTTCAAACTTTAAAATAAATTATAAAATAGACTCTTAATTTGTTACAAAAGTTAACATGATAATGATAACAATGACAAGTCTTTTATAATGAAGCCAGGCCAGACTTCACATGTTCATAACAGTTCACCTTTGGGTTTTGCAACCTAGATGTTTCAGTTCCACAAAGAAGCACCAACTATGTGATGGTTGTTTGAGTCATTGGGTTGGCTTTTGCAAGTGAAATCAAGGAAATTTTTTTGTGACAATCCTCTTCAGAAGTCTTCAGCTTCTTGTGCCATAATTAGGACTACAACCCTTTGAATCCCCTATTCTTGAAACAGAAAGGCCAAATTTGGAAGCTAGTTCCCCCTACTTCTTGAAACAAAAGGGCCAAATTTAGAATACCCTTACAAATATCTATCTGCACTGGGTATTTGTTGAGTCTAGTGGGGGGAAAGGATGTAATAAAATGCAGGAATTTTCATAATGAGAGAAGAAGGCTTCTCATAGGTAAATCATTTGAGGAAAATGAGAACTGAGCTTTGACCCAATTTTTCCTCTCTCTCTCTCTCTTTCTCTCTCGATGGCATTAAAGGAAAAGAAGATAGAACAGACCTCAGAGAACATCAATGATGGCAAATGAGGAAATCAGGTGACTCAAAAAAATGTCTGTGTTAGGCTGACAGGTAACCCAGAAAAGCAGCATTCTGAGTCTTCCTAGATGAAGCTGTTTGGGAGCCTGACAGCATTATGGAGAAGAAAACTTGTGAAGCAATGAGGACAAGCCACAGATGGAAAAAAAACTTTGAATTCTTTTTTCATTTAAAATTTTTTAAAAAGCAAAAGACAAAATGGAGAGGAAGTGTGAAGTGCCTCATCGTCCAAGCTGTCTTCCAGTTAAATGTGCTGCTGTGACAGCTCAGCTGTCCTAAGTTCTAATTGTTTTATGTCACACCCATATGCTGCAACACACAGAAATCTTTTCATTTCTTGTCTTCATTTGGGGGACAGAAATTCCCTTTGAAGGCTCCTTGCTATGGGGACCATGGGGGCACCAGAGTTTGACCCAGGCTGGTCGCTCTCCTCCCTGTAGCCCTGTTGTGCCGTCGATGCGCTTAGTTACAAAGCTCGGGACTGCTGCTGCCTTCAGTCAATCCATTTAGCCGAAGGCCTCTGATTTGTTCACATTTACTACAACACATACAGAGGGCTCGAGGATTTTTTTTTTTTCTTACTATTGATCTGGTGCTTTAAGAGGGGAAAAAATCTCCTTGGCTGTCTAAACACTATTGATCCCTGCTTGGGAGTCGCAGCAGAAGTGTAGAAAGGGCGTGGATGAATTGAAATTTCATTTCCGACAACTTGTTCCTGTTATTTTTACCCTTTTGGACGGGGAGAAACACGTTGCTGCGGCTTCAGTCAATGTGGTCGATAGCTCCACTGAGAAACTCAACACGGCTTCTGCCAGAGGTTTGGCAATGAGACATGATGTTGGATTTAGAGTGTATGAAACTGAAGGATGCTGGCGAAAAGCACTAGGTCTTAACAGCAACCAAAGGCAGAGCAAATGGCTTTGGGCTCACTCTGACCTACCAGGCCGTGGCTTGGGAGAGAAGAAGGATTAGGAGGCTAACAACATTGCTGTAGAGGAGAGGTCCTGAGTGGTCACACCAGAAGCTTCCCTGGGCTACAGGTGCCTTGCTTCAAACTCTTGGCTGGCTTTCTACAACAGGTTAAGGAGAGAGCTTCTCTAGCCAAAGCTGGATGTCAGGCCTCAAAGAAGGGGACTGTGTTGAGTTCTTACAAGACTACCCAGAAAAGGACGAGTGTGGAAACCGGAGCTGCCAGCCGGCAGGGAACTAGTGGATGGTGCTGGGCGTGCCAGGGCACACATCTGCAGCCAACAGCCTCAGGAAGCCCTCCCACCCCTCAGTACGCTAGGTAGATGTATGCCAATAGCACCAGCTTTGTTCTTACTTTTATTAGATGTTCAAAGAATACAGGAGAGAACCAGGCTCCTTCTTCATAGTGGCAACATCTGGCATTGATGTAGCCACACACCTTTGATCCTTAAGGATCCCAACACATTTTACAGCCTGCTGTAGTGCTAATGGCCACAGCAATGACTGGAGTAAATGTGACCCAGTAGTCTCCACTCTGGTTCCCTGTTCTCAGTTTTGCAGAGCAGCTCTCCATACTGAATGGAGAGATTCCAATTTGATCCCAAACACCTCTTTGTCATTTTTTGCAAAATTTGTTCTATATGTCTTCCCCCATTTTTTAAACTACAAGTTCTTCCTAACCCTTCTTAATAAACAGTAATTACTTCATTTACATTTCCAATGATTTCACAGGCCCACTTCTGGCCCTAGCCCTGTCCCTCCCCTTCCAGAGAAAGATGGAAATGCTGTTCTCTCCTGGGAGCCAGGAATCTGCATTGCGGATGAGATTGCAAATTCAGACACAATAAACAGAATTAAGAAAAACTGAGCTGGCATTTGACAGAAATTGTAAAATGACACTCAGAAATGTTGCTCTTGTGGAAATTACTGATATTAAAATATAAATCAGTGTCTTGTGTTTCCCATAGCACCAGGGGCTCTATTAGGTTATGTGGTTTGATTGCTGAGCTGAACCTAAGAGACTTGGCAGTTCAGAGCTGAAGTTATCCCAAAGTATTTAACCCCTGTCTTGCTGGAGAGCAGGCACCTCAACAAATCCCTGTTGATAATATTGCTTCCAAAAAACCTTGGCCTTTCATTAAAGCTTTTGAAATCTGGGAGAAGGTGGAGGGGGCTAATTTGGCCCAAAAAGGTAAAGGAATTTGGAGACAAGACAAGAATCTTATTGCACAGTTCCATGAAGAAAGCAGCCAACCACAAATCAAGAAGTAGAGTCTGTCAATTTTTTTTAATTAATTTTAATGAGGAAAGCAGTAACTATATAATGGATAAACTCTGTCAACGCCAGCATAACCAAGTAACCGAGGTTAATATTGTCAGTAACAAGGCATTGACATGATGTAAGATGCTGATATTGGGAAAGCAGAGGAAATGGTATTTAGGAACTCTCTGTAATGTTTTTGCAACTTTTCTGGAAGTCTAAAATGATTTCAGGAAGGCCTATATGTTCCTCATCCTGCAATTCTCACATCAATTCAATCATTAAGAGCCCTGAAATTGTTCATACTTTTTTCAATGGTAGAAGGTGGAACATTGAAAAGAAATATAAAACCCAGCAAGAGAAAAGAAAAACTAACAGGCTGAGTATAGTTAACACCTGTTACTTTTGCTTAAACACCCAAGAATAACTTTAAACTGAATAATGTCTCTTCCCATGACAACCAAGAAACATGTTCTAAATGAGAAAAACAGATCATGAAGGAGGAGGAATAAACAACGTTTCTCTAAGGAGAGTTGTCCATCCATACTTCCCACTGGTTACCAGTTTCTTGGGGACAGACCCGCATCAATAGTCAGTGGTTATGGCATTTGTGTAACCTAATGTGGGTAGACAGTATGTGATTTACTAATGGGTTCCTGATCCTGCCCTGCTCAACCTGTGTTTCACTGAACTTGTTCGCTTGCTTCCTTCTCCCCAAAACTAAACAGTCTCTCTGACTTAGGAAGGAGAAAGGGGAAGGGAATATGAGCATAAAGCAAGAAAATTAGAACCCGGTAAGATTAATGAGATGAGCAGAAGTGAAGAAAACAAGAACCTCAGATCAGTTTAACAATCAAGGGGGTAGAAGGGACTTTGGATTAATACCAAAATGGGAGGCAGGAGAATAAACAAGATCTTAGGATCCTATCCCCTTCTTCGCACACCTTTCCAGACAAAATGTAGGATGATGGCAGGGCGGGTCTAAGAAGACAGGGCTTAAGATGATCGTGTGTGTGTGTGTGTGTGTGTGTGTGGCATTAGAAGAATCCTCAGACAATGGAAAAAGGCCAGCAAGCCCAAAACCCATAGTATAAAGAAGATGAAGTATTTCTTTGTGGCACGGACATACTGGCACAATTCAGCTGGGTCATGGCCCAAGACCATGGACTACAAATCACCCCTTGGTCCAGGATCCAACCTAGGACCCCAGAATTTAGGTCGACTCTGAAGACACCTTAAAGAGGTGGAAGTTACCATGAATAGATTCAATTTTAACCCAAAAATGTTAAGAGCTTTCTCAGAAATAAGACTGTGTTTTCTCCTATTTGTGGAAATGGGCTTCAATAAGAGTCTAAATAATTACTTTTTCTTTGTATACCCAGTTCATACCTGCTAAACTAATCACCTAAGTGAAGTGCTATCCCTATTGGGTGTTTCTCAGGAATCTGTAAGATGTTCCTAGTGTGAGTTGAGGCCACGTCTAGAGGCATAAAAAATCAGTAGATGCTCCAACCAAGTTTTTGTTTTACTACAATTGTCTACTTTTCCCCCCTGGGCACAGCTGTCACCAAGAGAAATCCTGCTGGAAAAGCAGACAGTGGGACTTACTAATACAAGGTACAGTTCCCTGGGCATATGCACCAAAATCAGAGGTGCCAGTAAAGGAGATGATGAGGCTGGAGGAAGTAAAAGACAAAAAGAGATGCGGAAGCCAGCAGCATAGCTGTAGGGAAAAGGTTTGAGAAGAGAGATGACATTCAAGTCCTGGGCCCAGATATCAGTCTCCACCAATCAGGTAGAAAGGCTCTCTCTCCGTGATGAGTTCCCTCCTCTCCAAAACATTTGTCCAGCCATACTCCTCAGAGAAGTTGTGAAGTTTCACATGATCATTTTATAAAGCATTTGAGGCTCCCTCAAAGTACTCTTCCTTATCCATCTGGCAAACATTACTGTCAAATGCTTCGAAAATTTATCCTATAATCCATTTTTTTTTTTTTTTTTTTTTTGTCCATAAGCACTTCTAAATTGTCTGCCACTGCTGCTAATGACTCACGGGATTCCCATGTCCCTTCATGGAACATAATTCTCTGTTTTCCTTCTGACGTATTTTACTTAGTAGGTTTAAATACCAAAAAATAGACTCTGTTCATGTCTGATATACTTTCATGCAAATATGAGAGCCTCTGCCTCCCGCTTTTCCTTCCAAACTCTTGACCTTTGCTCTATAATTCATAGTAGGTGAAAACACAACAATCAAGAAAATCTTTTTTTTTTTCACCTTTGAGACAAAATTCCATTTGATTTAAGAATCACTTCCTAACTAATAGGTGTGCCTGTAGAGTAATATTATTCTCAAGGCTGTATTTGTTCCATCACAACTTTTCTGTGACGCTTTGGCTCAGTTTGTGGTTGCTACTAAAAAAAGATGTCTGTTGAGGTAGAACATTGAGTCAGTATACCCCAGAGGTAGGAAAGATAATGGTCATTTTGTGGAAATCAGCCTCAATAAGAGTTTGAGTAATAGAAAAATTGTTACATTTTCTTTGCACATCTAGTTCATACCTGCTACATTCTGTACTTTACATACTATCTATTTGGTACAGTCCTCTAGCTTAGAGAGGCAAGAATAATGTTCAGAGAGTTGAGTGCCTTTCGAAACACCACTGTTTGACATAGGTGCTGAGCCAGGTTTAGAAACTCAGTGACGGTGAGTCCTATTAGGTGTTCTTTTATGCCATACTATTTTTAATCTTCTCATTTACCTAGTACTGTAGATGAAATATTTGTTTTCTCCCTCACCAAGAAAATTCATATGTTGAAAACCTAATCCCCAAAGGTGAATGTATCAGTAGTTGAGGTGTTTGAGAGTGATTAGATCATGAAGGCGGAGCCCTCATGAATAGGATTAGTGCCTTTACAAAAGAAACCTCATAGAGCTTCCTTCCAGTACATGATGGTACAGTAAAAAAGGCAGTCTTACCAAACATGGGTCTTCACTGGACACCAAATGTGCTGGTGCCTTCAGCTTGGTGCCTCCAGAACTGTGATGTTTTGTTATAGCAGCCTAACCATATTATTTTTAGTGACTTCTTGTGGCCAATGAAATGTGAACAGAAGTGAAGTGCATGACTTCCACTTTAAGAGCCTGCAGGTGATTCACCAAGCAGATCCTTTTTTGCTGCCATGGCAATAAGCAACATACTAGATAATAGAGGTTCTACCAGCTGAGGACAATGAAGAACAAAGCCTCAGTTGACTCATAAAGGACAAGTGGCCAAGTGAGAAATAAACCTTCATGGTTTTACAGCACTGAGATTTGGGGGTGTTTGTTACGGCAATAATCTCCTGACTTCTTCCTACAGGGTAAGCCCAAGCTACATCACTGTTCCCATGATGCATCTCTGCACTTGAGGACCTAAAAGGGTAAACAATGCAGCACATCAGAATACAACCCCATAAAACATTCCAAATTCCATGCCTCACCAACATTCTTTCTTCCTCTTGGCTTATATTAGGGGTGAGGGATGTGGTTCATTACAAAGAATGAGTATTTTGATAGCTTCTCATTCTTGGAACTATTCTGCAGGTAAGTACCTGATGGAAATTTCCTTTTTTCTTAGAGTTAAAAACATAATGAATCAGATTATTATTTTATTTTTTTTTAATAGAGGCATGCTTTATTTATTTGTTTGCTGGTTTGTTTGTTTGTTTTGTTTATACATGCACTGGGTACAGTCAGAAGCGCGGGAGGGTAAGAGAATTCACCAGAGCCAGAGCGGGGAGCAGAGCAGGCAGAAGGACCGAAGTACACTGCTGAGGGGAGCAGCGGGCGGCAGGACAGGTCTGCGCGCCATGTGGGACCTCCTCCGGTGGCCGGGGAGCAGCCGGGGATCGAACCGGCGCCGCAGAGGCCGCGCACAGTTTCGCAACCCAGCGCTCAACCGCTGCGCCACCGGGGAGGCCCATGAATCAGATTATTTTAATACAGTGCATTGTAACCACTGATGCATCATCCTGCACTGATATACATACATGTGCAAAAGTCTTTGGTTTCCTTTGAAGCTTTTTTATTTAGTTAATTCTCAGCACTTTACAAGTTTCTTAGCTTTATAAGTAAGCCCCAACATTGTGGCAACTCTGTGCTTCAGAAAATTACATATCAGATATTTCCAAATAAATAATTATAAGTTAATGGAAGCTCCTTGTGGAGCTGTAAGAGAGCAGGTGTGACCTTGAATAAGTCACTTAGCCTCTCTGGGCTTCAGCTTCCTCCTCTTCAAAATGGAGATAGTAATATCTGTCTCCCAGGATTACTGTGAGAATTAATTTGGGTTATGCACATCCTGTATGGTTCATAATTAGTGCATAATGTTAGTTACATCTGAGTCACAGAGTAATTAGAAATCCAGAAAGTAAGATCATTTCAGGCCTTTTGCTTTCCAGCAAAATGAAATCAAAAACTATTTAACCACCAAGTAGTGTTTTTTTGAAAATGTGGTAAAAATATGAAACTGTCTTCCTGGTTCAGGTTTTGAAAACACAAACAGATGGGTAGGCAAGTAGGTATCACTAACATTCAGGAAATTTTTCCAAGCTCCCTGCTGAGGATACACATCTACATGGGAAAATCTTTAAAGGGCAAGACTCATTTACACTTTTTCCATCTTAAATTCTTAAACTTTTTCAGGTTTATAACAAAGCTCAGAAAATGCTAAGCCTTAAAGGAGAATTGAGAAGTGCCAAGGAATTGAAAGATGAGGTAAGGCTCCTTAACTCTTCTATGTGCATATAGCTGAACCTTTGTTACAAAGACTTCAAGTTTCACGATTCAAAATTCCAGTAATAAGCACCCCAAAAATCACAGATAGAGTTGGACAGCAAAACACAGCATTTAAGAGCCCAGACCTGAGCTAGGTGGGTCTGGGTCCATATCTTAAGCAGCAGTATGATATTGGCCATGTTGCTCACCCTCTCTGAGCTTCCTTTGTTTTACCTAGAAAACATGAATAATGCGCACCTATATCAAAGGTTTTCTGTGAAAATGAAGTTAATACTGCATGTAAAACATTAGTGCTTAGCATATAGGAAGTGTTCTGCTTAGTCTAATATTTGGGTCAGCCTCTGTTATGTCTTCTCTGCTTTGTTCCAGAAAGAATTTAAGGAGAATCTTTTAGTTGGTATAGAGTTGTCTCATACGGCATAAGCTTTTTAACAGAACTCCTACCTAGCAAGCAGCTTATAAAAGAGGTTTTTCAACTTCTTTCCTCATGGATTACTGAAGGAAGTTGTACAGGATTTGTTCAGTTTCTGCAGGGAGTAAGGATTTGGTATGGAATTTCTAGAAAGGCATCCCTTCCTCCAGTTGTTAACTTTGGCACTTTTGATGTGTCAGGCATTGTTCTAGGGGCTGGGGATAAAGCAATGAACAAAATAGACAGAGATCTCTATTCTCATGAAGCTTACCTTCTAGTGAAATCATTTCTCCAGGGATATTATGGGGAAAAGTATGTGGCAACTTCCCAAGTCAATAAAAATTGCCCATATTCCATAGGTGGTTGACCGCAACCATGTGCCATGTGTATCCAGATACTTTTACAAGCATGCCAATTTTTAAAGAATTTAGAATACAATAAAAATTCTCATTTTTCACTATAAGAACATAATTGCTTCCAAAATTTTTGCTCACATGAAAAACCTCATATAAGTGTCCATTAATTCCCAAAAATTGCAATACATAAAAAAGTAAACTCAGGAATCAAGTTAGTAATATCAATAATAGTGTTTGAAATTACTGTAGATAACTGTAAACTCTACTACACTTTACTATATAAGTAAAGTTTAAAAATTCCTGAAGTAACACTCATTTTTAAGGTTTCATGCTTTTTAAAATGTAACTCTCTAAGTTGCTATCTACTGAATAGTTGTGGTAGTAGTCATTACAAGTGGTTTCCCACTGTTTGTTGAAGATTTGTCCTTATCCTTAGACATAAAAGATAATTTTCCAAAGATACCTTTATAGTATTGTTGATTGACTCCAAAATTACTCTAGAAACTGCCACTCAAACTTTCTTATCCAAGTGCCAGATCCTTGGGAATGGTGCCATGTTGCATCTTTGTGAAGCTTTGGCATCTGACAATGCTACTGAATCACAAGCTTCAGTTTAACATCTGTTTCCCCCAAGAAGAAGCATAAGACCATCAATACTTTGGAAGCTTAGAGCAAAATTTCTCCCCCGCTTTTGAAACATGTTCAAAAAGGCATGCTCTTTGGAAAGAGGGGAAAAAAAGACCTGTTGAATCAATACAGAAATTTTGCTCCAGTAAGTAACCTATTTTCCAATAACTATGCAGAGTATGGTAGCAACTACATATCAGTGCTCACCATTTTGCTTGTGGGTAGGTAGCTGCTGCCAGTACCACATCTTTCATACAGAAATACTGGGTTCCAACCTCATAGAGGCAAAACTGGTTACCTGAGTGCATGGCTTATGTAAGCGAAAAGTCACCCAGCGGTAGAGGCTTGTGATTTCAGCCATCATTAATGACTTCAGATCCAGGACAGGATCAGATGGTGCCTGAGGGTCAGCATTATGACTCCTAGTTCATCTCATGCCCCAGTGTTGGTTACAGAGCTTTGATTGATGAAGTGTCAGGTTAAATCAATTCCTACTGCATATTGATACTCAAAAGGCATCTGCCTAGAATTTACCCTTCATAAAGAAGATAGGATTAGAAATAGTGCCAGTGACCTCTGCGCAAGATAGCAGCCAGAAATTTGATTTACTGGAACCTCAGAAACACGTGCCTTTCTGGGGTTCTGAGGGAAGCACAGCCTCTTCTTACAACTACCTATAGTAAAAAAATAGGATGAGACTACAAAATATTAGTTCATGGAAATCACTTTATTGCTCTCCCAGCATTTTCATTCCTGTTCTGATGAATAAAAAGCCCTTTATGATTTGGCCTTTATGAGAGCATGATTACATTTTGATTTCAAAAGCAAACTTCACTTGACATCCAGCAGAACACACTTGTTGTTCAACTGATTTAGGGAATCCTCAAAGAAAGATTATTCCAAGGTCTTATTTTATGAATGAAGAAATTACCTCAGAGACTCTGGGGTGATGCTAATGTCCAATTAGATGAGATCATCTACATTAAAGATCTAATTCTGAAGTCCTCGTGCTGCAACAGTATTGGGCTGGCAAATCCGCTAGGAGAATACCCAGAACTGGAGGGAGGGGGTGATGTGCTTGGCCTGAGACGTATGTGGGGGAATGCATTTAGCTTTCAGCTTGGAGAGACTCAGGCATTAGCATCTTGTTAATGGGTCCACAATGTGCCAGCCTCCATATGTAACAATCTGGTGACATGGCCCTCACCTTGAATGCATACATTCAGCATCAAGTTCAGGGTATAGGGCATTTGGCTCTTTTGTAGAACAGGCATTGTACTGTCACCTAATCTGCTCATAGAGGCCAAAGAAAGATATTTCTGTGTCAAGGCAGGGAGGGAGCCCCAGGTCCCTACTCCCCAGTGAGCCTCCATAACCATGAGAGAAGAAATTTAAAGCCTGAGACTCAAACAGCTGCTACTTGTTGGGTCAAGAGTTTTGTTTTCTAGTTAGAAAAATGTCTGTACACTGCTGCTTTTGCTGCTCTACACATAATCTCTTAAGAGAGTCCCTGGTAATTGTCTTAATGGTAATCACATGCTTGGGGCAGTTGACATCCACTGTTATTTTTCTGAAAGTGGGGCACAAGGGAAGGGAGCAAGAGAAGGAAGAGGGAGAGTTTTGAGATAATGAAATCCTTTTAATGACAGAGCCATGCCGTTAACCTAATTAAACTGTAAAGTGGTTAAAAAAAATCCAGGTACTAAATGGAAATGAAGAAATAAATCAGCTGAGACAGCAGCACTTCTGGGAAACCTTCTGAATTCCGCATACACTGACATTGCCGCGTCCGATTCTCCTGGTAATCCTCCACCCCCCCAGCCTCATCAGAGGTCTCTCCAACTGACCTGTCCAGTAAGGCTTGATTTACTGTGCCATATCAGGTCTCCAGCTCCCCAGGGAGTATGCGTTATGCAGGTCAGATATTTATGAAGCCAGAGCTATCAGTGGATTTGGTGGCTATAGGGTCGGGAGAGCAAAACTCTCCTCGTTCTGCAACTCAACAGATATGGGACCTTGGCACTGTGGCTTGGATCACTTTCCCATTTCTGCACACATATCTCCTGCCTTCTGTGTGCTTTTGCACCTGCAACTCTCTTAGAAGAATTGCCCTTGAGCTATTGGGGTCACTTTGCTCATAAGAACAGAGTGCTGGATGTCCTTGGGAGCTCACAGCCCATGAGGCAGCCCTTAGCCATTGGCTGAATGATGCTGAGTCTGACAGCCCCGCTTTCATTGCATCTAATCAGAACAGACTCAGAGGGTAACTTACACTCCAGAGTTCCCTGTGGGTTCAGGCTAAAGCTACTGCCCACAGGACTTAGTCTGGATCATGCCCTTGCTTGCTTTTTTCCCCTTCCCTGTCCTGCTTCCCCCACCTCCTTGCTGATTTCCTTAGGAGTATTTCCTTAATTGAGGCCATGAATCCTCACCTATGAGACTGCTCTGGGTAATCTGACTTAAGACAAGCACCTACCATAATAGCAGGGGCCTCCATTCTAGCACTAAGACTCGGAGGTGGAAATAGCTGGCCTCATGAGTCATATGAAAGATCTGCACAGTGACAGGGCCAGAACACTGTACAGGTTCATAAAGGTCTTCTTCCAAATCTCTCTTCACACCATTGCGGCACACACACTAGAGAGCGCCCACCTGCTTATCACAGCTCTACCCCCAATTCTACCCTAGTCACCATGCTCCATACTCTCCATTTTGATCTTAGTCACCAATTTCCATTCTTTTTTTTTTTTAAGATTTATTTTATTTATACAAGAGCTGGGGCACAGCCAAGATGCGTGGGAGGGTGAGAAGATTCAGCAGAGACAAAGCAGGGAACAGAACAAGCAGACTAAAATACACTGCTGAGGGGAGCAGCGGGTGAGATGCGAGAGGTCTGCTTGTCATGTGGGTTGCTCTGAGGCCAGTGGGGATGGAACCAGCACTGCAAAGGCTGTGGACAGCTTCGCAGTGCTGCGCTCAACTGCCTATGCCACCAGGGAGGCCCTAATTTCCATTCTGACTCGGCAATAAAATAATAAGACATTAATTCAAAAGGATACCTGCACCCCTATATTTATAGCAGCACTTACCTATTTACAATAGGTAAGCTATGGAAACAACCCAAATGCCCAAAAATAGATGACTGGATCAAGAAGATGTGGAATATATACACAATGGAATATTACTCAGCAATCAAAAAAGACAAACTCATGCAATTTGCAGTGTGGATGGAGTTGGAAGGGATCATGCTCAGCTAAATAAGCCAGAGAGAAAAAGAAAAATACCAGATGGTCTCACTCATAGCAGGAATTTAGAAAACGTAAAAAGGGACCAGGAAAAAGACTAATTGCAGTAAAGTAAAAATCAAAATCAACGAGCAACTATACACCAGAGACACACTACGATGGGGGGTAGGGGGAGGAGAAGAGGGATTAGGATCAGAAAAAGGGGATGGGAATTGTATGGGGAATATAACCGAAATGAAAATGCACATTATGCAAAAATGAAAAATGATGTAAGAATTATATAAAATAAAATAATTCCTTAAAAAAATAAAAAATAATAAAATAAAATAATAAGAGATCTAGTATTTTTCACTCATAATTAAAGACAGTTTGTATACATTCAGCCCAGAAATTTTACTTTTACTCCCAATGTTGGACATCTCCAAAGAAGAGAATTAGGTTTATGGGTGAGAGAAGTCTTTCAGGTTAGTGAGTAAAAAAGAAAGTGAAGCAATACCAGAATCCACACCAGCTCCATCACTGATTCACTAGAGTCTTGACAAGGTCATTTGCCATCTCACTATTTCCATTTCATCAGTGGCAGAACCATTAATATTTATAGACAGTCTGGTAGCCTGGAATTATTCTAGACACTAACTTTGTCTTGAAAAACAGGGTGTCTGTGATGCACCCACAGTGGTGTGGTAAAGATTAATTAATATAAGTAAGTAATTGAATAATACAGAGCACTCAGGCACCTCACAAATGGATACTGTGTAAATATTACACAGGGTGAGAAATAACAACAAAGAGCTGATGGACAAATTTCCAGCAAATTTAAAATCTGTCAACCTGTTAAGTGAACCAAAGTAAACATTTTCTTGATAGTTTATAATTGATGCTTTTGTTTTTCTGACTGCCTAGGCAGGGGAGAGAGACAGAGATGTTAGCAACCTGAACAGCAAGCTCTTGAGCCTGCAACTTGACATCAAGAATCTACATGATGTCTGCAAGAGACAGGGGAAGACCTTGCAGGAGAATGAGCTCAGTCTGGAAGAGGTGATGGTGAACAACAACCATGTAAGGGATTCAGCAACTGCTCCCCACCTATGGTACCAGGGCAAGAACAATAGAAAGTTTTTCCATTGGTCACACACACACACTCACACACTCCCTTCCCTCAGGCTTTTCAAGGGCTTCTCCATCTGACATCTGAGGCTCTTATCTTTTCCTTTGCTGGCTTTCCACACCTGGATTTATAGCACTTGAGGTCTATGGTCCTGAAAAGACCAGATCATAGTTCTATATGGAGAGTAGCATCATCTACTGGATTTTAGAAAAAATTGTAAGTCAACAATGAAAATAAAAACCCACTTGGAGATATCACTGTTCCTCTGCACAGCTGGTGCACTTTATTACCACACCCACCACCCTCTGCCCACAAGCATTTCTGTGTGAAGGAACCTAATCTAGATGAAGCTATAGTGCAAAAGAATGAATGAAATGAAAAGAATGAATGTCCTAGAGGCAACCCTTAACCATTGACTGGTAGAAAAATGGTTGATTAAATATCCCATCCTTCTTGCATATTAATCAGTGCTCTTTGCTCTGTCTCAGAGTCTCCCTGGAACTCAGTACCCCAGTATTGGCAGTCAGCTTGATAATACACCCTTTAGCAGCTCACTGCCCTTCCTCGTCACATTTTCCCACACTCCTACCAGAGTTTCCTAAGATCACCAAGTAAACCACTACTCAATACTCCGTTCCCTGCCACAGGGTTTACATCCAGAAGAACCCAAGCCAAGATACTGAGGGTGACACTTGTCCTACACATGTATGAACAGGAAGACCTGTTCTTTCTTGAGATTGTGATTTTGAACTAATACTTCAGTGTAAACTACTCAGTTCATTAACAGAGGCAACTTCATTTTAACCTGAAGTTTCTCTCTTTGGAAACTCTACCATTAATCTCTCTAAGCCAGCCTGTAAATTTACTCACACAAGCTGGGGGTCAGCTGGGGGATATTTCCCCACAGGTCTCTGAAAACATCGGGTTTCCAAGAATTCCTTACTTGCAGTTTTCATTTCACTTAGGGACTTGAATTATTGGCAAACATAAAGCAGTTACTCGTTGCACAGATCTGTTGCTGTAACCCCCACATTAGCCTCTTAGTTGCTGTGTATGCAACCCTATGTTCTTCTGTGTTTGTTTTCAAAGATCTGGTATCTTCTAATTATGTCTGTTAAGAGTAGTCCCAGGGCTTGCTACCTCCCTATAGAAACCACAGATTGTTCATCTGTAATGCCCTAAAAATGCTACCAACAAAGCAACTCTCCTTATCTTACAGAGCACTGCTTCCCCCACACACCAGGAAGTCATGAATACAGAAAAATCCATTGGTCTTCCTAAATGGATCTCAGGAAGAATATTTTCATTGTTGCTTATTTCTAAATATTAATATTTTAGGATATTTTCACCATTGCTGTCACAAATTTATTCCCCCAGTCAGCAAAAGCCATGTGGCTTATAAAAGTACCTGGCAACTTGGAAGTTGAAAGGTATTAAATCGCATTTTATTTTTCTAATTGCCTAGAAGAAGGTCTAACAGCTTGAAACAAGCTTTAAAGCAGGCTTTAAACTCATCCACTCAGAAAATCCCTGCAAAATCTGCCTTCCACAAGGAAATGTAATATAGGAACAAAGGGGAAACCAAGACTTTCTGAAATTTTGACTAATATCTAACAAGAAGCTAAGGAAATAAGCAGGAGGCCATAGTTCAGGACCTTAATTATGTGAGAACATTAAAATGTGATATCAGATGTCATGTGCAGCTAAGGGAGTGGCTGGCAGGGCAGTGGATAAATGAAAGAAAATGACATGACCTTGTAGATCAAGAATATATTATGTTCCAAAATCCTGGGACAGAGGTTAGATGAGAGGAAAGCAAGCAAGCGAGGTGCCTCAGGTGCACAATTCACGGGCGCTCTCTTGAGGTGCCAGCCCAGTACTTGCTCAACCCTCGCTGTGTCCTCCCTTAAAATGTGTACCTCACTTGCCTCGCTCTAGTCCTCACGCAGCTAGGAATCACAGGAGTGCCTCAAAGTCAAAAAGAAAGGGACCACCGAGAAAGCATAATAAAATGATGATCAAACTAGAAAGGAAGGGTCTTTTTGAGTTATTTCCCAGCTTGCTTGGCATTGGCAGTGGCCAAGGGAGGAATCCCTGATCTGCAGTAGAGCTCAGATTGTCAAAATGATTTTGAACTAGATGGAGGACTTCACTTTTAGCACAAAATCATGTAAGAAATTTGATTTCTGTAGATAAAAATAATTAGTTGAATATGTAAATAATAATAGACTCTTGATGGAAATTATTACACAGAGATATCACTTTGAATGATTAGGAATGAAAAAAAATTAAGTGAAACTGCTAAATGCAATGTGGGACCTGGAATTAGATCCTAGAACAGAAAAAAAAAAAAAAACCCGCACACATTCATGGGGAAAAATTGGTAAAAGCCCAATAATGTGTGTAGTTTAGGCTCCCATTTTTATATACTATGGTTATACAAAATGTTAACATTATGGTCAGCTGGGTGAAAAGTAGATGAGAACTATTTATTTCACATTATTCCAAATTATTTTACTTTTATAAAAAGTTAATCTATGGTAAGCAGAGATCACTAGTAAGAATGTCTCAAACACAAAGATGTATTCAATAGAAATGTGTGTCACTTAAAAATAGTTATATCACCTCCTGGTCCAGAAAGTACAAGAAATGCCATCTGTAGAAGATATAAAAAGTAACAGATAAACCTTTCTAGTGATATAAGGCTAAAACAAAGTTACAAGGACAATATCTCATTTAAACCTCAAAGTTGGGGGGGGAAAGTTCATAGCAATGACTGGAAAAAGATGAAACTTTCAGTTCTTAAATGAAGGGGAGAAAGTCAGCAGGGATCCAGTCATCAGAGCAATGCCAACCTGAAACAGAAGAGAGTCAGTGCAAATGAGAATAAGAGATAAAATGGTTAAAAACTATTTTGAAAAGCCAGCTTTAAGCAAATCAGCAGGGCCTGATGACATACTTCGAAGAGTACTTAAGGAATTGGCAGGTGTTATTACATAGCTGCTAGCGATTATTTTGAGAACTCAAGAGGATAAAGAATGTCCCTGTAGACTGAAAAAGGGTAAATGAAGTGCTCATCTTTTTAAATAGGGAAAAAGGACAATCCTGGTAATTATAGACCTGTCAGCTTAACTTCAATATCAGGGAAAATATAGAACTTAACATCAATCAATTAGCATCAACTTGAAAAGCACAAAGTATTGGGCAGAAACCAATGTGACTTTTGAAAAAGCAAATCATGCCAGGCCAATTAATTCCCTTCTGTGATCAAGTGGGCACACAGGCAAGGAGGGAGAAATAACTATAATCTCTTTGACCATAAGTAGGACTGAAAGGTTGACTAAATATGGAAACAGATTCCTACAGGTGACCGGCCACCGCTCTCCATCCTTTAAGACCGCTGAGCCTTGGAGAAGTCTAAGAAAACTGGTGGAGCAGATGGCCTTGGGAATCACGTCCAACTCTGATAGTCATTCTATGCACTAACCTTACTTGCATAAAATCATTTCCAACTTGCTCATTTTCTCTAAATCTCAGTTTAAAGATCAAAGAAGAATCTAATAAAATATCCACATCTTTACTAAGAAGGAAACTTGAAAAAAAAAAAGAAACAATAGGAAATGCATTGATGTCTTTATGATAATGCTCTTTGGCACATGTATAAGTGAAATGTAGGCTTCATCCATACCATGCCTTTTTCTATTAATTTAAAATTCAGGGAAAAATAATCTTTTAAATACTTAGGAATAAATAAGTAGAAATTTAATGTCTTAAATAAACCTAGGCATTTCTCTGAATCTTTGAAATGTGACTCCTCTAAACCCATAGGTAACTAGAGTGTGAAAGTGTTTAAATTCTCATCCAAGAAAATTCTAGTTTCTCTGCAGACGAGAAGTCCTTGGATCTTTTTTACCAAATTAAATCAGGTGCAGTGTTTACCTTCTAAACTGGAGTTTTCCCTAAAACTAGAATCATCATCCCATAACAAAATTAAACCCAGAAGATTGGAAATTAAAGATGACCTTTGAAGAAGAGGAATTCTTAACAGCTTACCAGTCTCATTGCCAGGCTGTTTTCTATAGATAGGAAAAAAACATTCTTTACCCACAGGAGGCTTTGAAGAAAAGAGTCATTATGAGCACTAAGTAGAGATAGTATATCTCATACTAGGAGGGGGAGGCTAAAGAAAAAATGCAGCTCCTTTTAAAAGAAAGACACTTCTCCCATTCTTTTAGGGCAATAAAAAAAATTGGTGATGGGGAAATGAAACAGAGAAAGAAGATACAATCAGGAGACTATAGTTAGTTTTCAACTGAGCCATACACATGCAGCAGTGAAGAAGGCAGATGCAAATCAAGTTACACTTCAGTGCTAGTAAGACCAGGAATCCAGTTTATATAAATTCTCAGAGATGAGTTCAACTTCAACAAACCCAAAAAGAAACAGAGCTTGGGGAAAATTTGATAAGGATTCTATTGAGTGTTTGCTTTACTAAAATAAGCTCTTCTAAATTAACTATCCCCAGATGTTCACTCCTTTGATTTAATTCTGTCCACATTTAGTATTCAGGATATTTTTCCAAGTAGCTCCCCACTTCCCAGTTTACCTGGGTAGACAGAGAGCTTGGGCTCTTGAGAACCTCCCAATTTACATATATATGTGTACACACACACACACAAAACACTCACACACACACACTGCTCCCAACTCCCTTCTTTCCAAACCTCATTCACAGATAAGTTATAAGAATCGTAATATTCTTATCTTAAAAAGAATGAAAGGACTTAACTAAAAGCATTAAATATAAATGTTGGTAATTTTGGCTTCCCAAAGTAAATACAAAATTCAGCTTTGTTTGGTTTAGGAAAGAAGTTTCATCAACTTCCATCCAGCCACACATAGCAAATATCCAAACCAAAAGTTAGTCTTGCCTTTGTCTAGGATTTCTTTTGCTGGTGATTTTAGTGATCCATTTTCTTTGTCTGTCTTCTCTATTCTGAGACAGTTAGAGTGAAATAAACTTCAAGGAGAGCCACGAAGAGTAATTCAGAGTGAACACAATCAACTGTTGTCCTTTTGTTTCTGAGCTGGATTATGTCTCCCTTATGTGTGCTGCTCTCTTTCCCTTCCCGCTCTCCCTAGAAAAGATTTTCTCTATTTTGATTCTCAGCTCTTACTTAATTAAATGCCATTAAAACTCCATCTCTCTAGTGACTCAGACCAGAATCTTGGCATCATCCTACCTTGGATGACCTTCATCTCCCACCACCCTACATCTAGTGCACCAGCAAAGTCCTGTGGACTCTACTTTGAAAATAGAATAAAATCCAGCTACTTCCTACCTCCACCTTGGTCCATGTCCACCATCCTTTCTCACCTGGATTCCTGCTACAGTCTCCTTACTGGTCTCTCCGCTTGCTTCTACCTCCCCCTTAGATGGTTTTTAGAACAGACATCTAAAGGAGATCATGCCCCTCGTCTCTTCATTGTCCTCCAAGGCTCTTTTGTCTCCCTGAAAGAAGATGTTAAATCTCTAGAATGGCCTATGTGGACCTTTCCCTTCTCACCTTGTCAGGTTCTGCTCTTCCCCCTTACTGTCTCTGCTCTAGCCAGTTCCACCCAGATCTTAGCACTTTCTATTTTCTTTTCCCCCAGAGGTCCCAGCAGTCTTCTTCCCTCACTGCTTTCAAGTCTTGACTCAAATGCCACCTCTTCAGTGCGGTCCTCACTTAACACTTAATTTAGAATTACAACTGCCTCCATTTTGGCTGTGCTCATCTCACTCCCCTGCTTTTCTCCTCTATAGTCCTTCTTCCTTCCAATACACTACATCATTTACATGTTTAATTTGTGCGCACTCTTTCATACACGTGTGCTCATGCTCTCCCTCACGCTCTCTCTCTCTCTCTCTCTCTCTCTCTCTCTCTCTCTCTCTCACTCTCTCTTTCTCTCTCTCTCTCTCACCCTCTTTCTCACCTCCCCCAGATACGGATTCCACAAAGGCAGAAATTTTGTCTTTTATATGCTTCTACATCCCCATCTTGACACATAGTACATGAACCATAATACTTGCTGAAATTAAAAGAAAATATCATAGCCACACCATGTTAATGTTCATAGCCACACTAGTCATTAGAGCCTACAAATGAAATACCATCAACTGGTGAAGAGATCAACACAATGAGATACATTCATACTATTTAGCAACCAAAAGGAATAGAATATTAATTCTTGCTTCAACCTGGATGAACCTCAAAAACATGCTCAGTGAAAGAAACCAGACACAAAGATCACAAACAGTTCCTTATATGAAATGTGGAAAGTCTTTAAAAAAAAAAAAAAGAAAAAAGAAAGAAAAAAAAAACAAACATAGACTGAGCATACCAAAAAAAAGAAAGAAAGAAAGAAAGAGAGAGAGAGAGAGAGAGAGAGAGAGAGAGAGGAAGGAAGGAAGGAAGGAAGGAAGGAAGGAAGGAAGGAAGGAAGGAAGGAAGGAAGGAAGGAAGGAAGGAAGGAAGGAAGGAAGGAAGGAAGGAGGAAGGAAGGAAGGAAGGAAGGAAGGAAGGAAGGAAGAAGAAGGAAGGAAAGAAAGAAGAAGAAGAAAGAAAGAAAGAAAGAAAGAAAAAAGAAAGAAAGAAAGAAAGAAAGAAAAAGAAAGAAAGAAAAAAGAAAGAAAGAAGAAAGAAAGAAAGAAAGAAAGAAAGAAAGAAAGAAAGGTAGAAAGGGCAAGTCTATAGAGGCAGAAAGCAGATTAGTGGAGATTAGTGGTTACCGGGAATGGGGGATAGGAATGGGAGTGACAAATGGGCATGAGGAAATTTTTTGAAGTGATAGAATTGTTCTAAGACTGTATTGTACTAGTGGCTGCACAACTCTCATTTGCTACAAATCATGAAATTGCATGCTTACATGGATAAATTTTATATATAAAGCATACCTCAACACAAATGTCTTAAAAGTTAATTTTAGAAAATTAATGAGGCCAACATTACAAGGTCAAAGTCTTGGGGGCCACTGAGGATTCTTATTCTCTATTTCCTTCAATACCTGGCTGGGTGTCTGTAACCCAGGCCCTGTTGGAACAGACATGGCCCTGCCCTCCAGGAGTCTGTAATTTAATTAGGAGATAACATGCACAGAGATAATTACCATGCAAGGGGAAATGTGGAATGCCATGTTAAGGACATGCCTGTAAAGTCTGTGGTACTGGCACATCAGCTTTGGAGGGGAAAATGAGAAAGAGAACAGAATTTAGAGAGAGTTTTAACGAATAAGTAGGAGAATAATAAGTAGAGAGAAGAGTTACAGTGCACCCACTGGCCATACTCTTCATCTGCCTCTTGCATGTGCCATAGGGATATTGGGCAAGAAAATAGGGAAGCATATGTGCAAAGGCCTCAGTTTGTACTACAATAAACAACTTAGGGATGCACCCCCACTGTAAGAAAACTTGATAGAAAGTGGGTGCTGGACCTATGTTTATGGAGGGAGGGAGGGAGGGAGGGAGGGAGGAAGGGAGAAAATGTATGATGAGTTTAGCAGCAGGTGACTCTTGGATTAGCAAAGATTCATTCCCTTCCCTCCCCCTTCCTGTTTCTTTTTTTTTTTTTTTAAGATTTATTTATTTATACAAGCACTGGGTACAGTCAGAAGCGCGGGAGGGTGAGAGAATTCACCAGAGCCAGAGCGGGGAGCAGAACAGGCAGGCTGACGAAGTACACTGCTGAGGGGAGCAGCGGGAGGCAGGAGAGGTCTATGTGCCATGTGGGACCCTTGCCTGTGGCTGTGGATCAAACCGGTGCTGCAGAGGCCGCGGGCAGCTTCGCAGCCCAGTGCTCAACAGCTGCGCCACCAGGGGAGGCCCACCCTCCCCTTTCCTGAGTCTGCAAGGTCACATTATTCCTTGGGAGGTGAATAGTCTCCCGATATACCTGAACAATATTTCTGCATCCCTTCAATTTTCCAGAATTCTAGAAAGCTGTTTCCCCAAGATCCTACCCAAGAATTTACCCTGTTAGGTAGGCATTGTTAGCAATCAAGTTTAGCCCAAGAACCACAAGCAGCCATCCATTACCCTCCAGGTTAATTGTGTTCTCCTATATGTGAAGGCTAGACATATGCCCACGATCACACGTGTCTTTAACCTCCTCTCCTTTATATAGATGTTTTTTCTCCTGACCTAAATAATGGTAGATCTAAAGAGCAGAAAAGTACCATGGGGGTTTCTTCCCCCTTTCTTTTCAATGCTTCTTACAGAGTGGAAATACAGAGTTTCATTGTGAATCAAGTAAAATGTTTAATAAGTGCTCCGTAGATGAAAAGATAAGAGGATGGAAAGATGGGCGGAGGGCTGAACAAGTGAAAACCATGAAAGGACACATGCATGCTTGGTGATGATCTGAAGTCTTCTATGTGTGTCAACCTCTATTGCAGAACAAGAAGCCAGTGTTAGCATTCAAGGATTTACAGATGGACCTTGAGCCCTCTAAACAGTGTCATCTGAGACAACTTCAGCAACTGAAGAAAAAATTGCTGGCCCTTCAGCAAGAACTGGAGTTTCGCACAGAGGAGTTGCAGACTTCTTACTGTTCCCTCCTGCAGTATCAGTCCGTCCTAGAGAAGCAGACTTCTGACCTGGTTCTTCTTCATCATCACTGCAAAATGAAAGAAGACGAGGTATTGCTAGAATAACTATGGAAATGGCCCATACACCCATGTACCTAACAGAAATCAGGCCAAGCCTGCTAGGAAGCAAACTTTGGGCTTACAGAGGAAAGCTTCACAATATCTTGAGCAGCTTTCATAAACATTCCTGCTTTCATTCTTGATCTTTTTTGAAACTGAGCAGAGGGAACTAGACAGAATGACATAATTGGGTGAGAGTTTCAGTATTAATGTGTATGGGTACATGTTAACATGTGTGTGTCGGGGTTGAGAGTGTGCACATGTGTGTATGTAAGTCCATCTCCATTCTATTATCGTTGCAATTTAAATGCAAAATATTCTAGGTCTCTGAGAGTTATAAAAGAGATATAAGGCCCATTAAATCAACGATTTTTAAAAACATCAGGTTTTGATAATAGACAAATTCCCGGCACTTGCAGTTTTTAAGATAACCAGCCTGAGTCCATCATTGGGAGTATCAGATTGGTCATTTTTTCAGACTGGAGTTTTAAAGCATGTAGACTTAGCTTAAGTATAGTATAGGCATTCATTTCTATTAATGTCTCAGGATAGTATTTATTAAACCGGAGAGTAGCACCCTTGTGAAATCTCAAGTAAATGACAAAGGCCAAACCTACAGAACTAAAACCAGTTGAACAGTGGAAGGACAGGAAGCAGTAAGGCCATGGGTTCTAAGAAATGGGACAGGCAACCTCCCTTGCAATCTTCTTCCTTTTTCTTTAAAGATAAAATTCCAAGAACTGTCTGAAATAGTGCCATTGCTTTAAGATTAACTCCAGGAGCTTTATGAGGGATCTTAGGGAACAAGAATTTTTTAAAAGGGAAAATTAAGGTCAGTAGGAATTTGCTGGAAAGGATTGAGAGGAAAAGGAACAGAGAAAAGTTATCCTGCAAAATATGATCAGGGACAAAGCCCATGTGCATAAACTGTGGTTTAATAAAACTAATAAGTGTTGTGTTAAAACTGACTGGTGTTCAGGATATCTTAAACAAGAGTCCAGCCTAGATAAAGTGGCCCTGAATTAGTTGGGATTCTATTTGGCTGCATGTAACAGAAGCACCAAATAATAATAGCAGCTTAAATAAGATGGTGTGTTTCTATGACATATAAAAGAAGTTGGATATGGGTGGTCTAGGACTGCTACGGTAACTGTACATGTCATCAGGTACCTGAGGTCCTTCTTTTTGACTCCATCAACAACTCAAGTTTTCTACTCCCTAGGTCACCTAAGCTGGCTCCTGGAGTTCCAACAATTACATCCTTGTTCCAAATAATCAGAATGGAATGGTGGAGGGAGAGAAAGGCACATTCCTCCCTTTTACATGTATTTTCCAGAAGCCCCACATACTTTCATTTACATATCATTGGTCAGAGTTAATCACATGGCAATAGCTAGCTCCTAGGAAATGTGTTTTAGTGAGATGCATGCTGTCCCAAATAAAGTCAAGTTTCTATTAATAAGAAAGAGAGGGGAGAATGAATATGGAATTTAGCAATAGCAGCCACTGACACAGATCCCAATCTAGAGGAGTAGGGGGGATAAAAACACCTTAGGGCATTCTGCCGAGTTCCCTCAATACCTTGTTACACAGAAACATTAAAGTTCTATCTAAGGTTGGATTTCCATAAAACAAGGAGATGAATACAAGGAGTTAGTTCAAAAGGTGATCTTGGGGAGCACAGTGAAAGAAGTGAGTCAAAAAAGGGCAGGATTTTCCACAAAGAAAATCACTAAAGAAGATTACTGCTGTGGGCAATTGGAATTCAGTCCCTTTGAGACCTCTGGAAGTGATCCCAGCCAACCCACCTGAGTTTTTGGTTAAGGGCTGCACCTGAGGGTATGTAACCTGCCCTGTTTGCTCCTTTGCTTGTGTGGCCTCCCAGGGTCAAAGCAGTCCTCAAACCAAGAGTAGAAGATGCTTGCTGTTGGGATGAGTTTGGTGTGCAAAGGAAGGGTGAGTGGTAAGGAGCCATGAATGGACCCCTGATGGCTGATGTTACAAATATATGAATATAAAATGTTCTTTAACTCTTCTCCTTACTTAATAAATACCTCAAACTAAATGATTCTTTCCTACAAAAAAATCTCAAATGACAGACAGCAAGTATAATTTACTTTGCCACCACCCCCCCATAGGATGTGTCCTGTATGAATTCCATGCTGGACGATTTGAACCCACATGAAGCTGTCCTTCTGCTCTTAATTTCTCAATACTTAGAATTCAAGTCTACAGTTTAGCATACACAACTATACAGTTATTTGCTCATTTTAAATCACACCACACCCAAATTGTAAGAGTTTATAAACTCGTTGAGGGAAGAGCCTATGTTTTATACACACTTCACCACCCAAGACATTTTTCATGAGCAATCAATAAATATCTGTCAGTTGGTTGACTAATTAATTGATTAGGGAGAAAGGGAATCTAAATAAGGACCATGTAAATCCCAGAAGAATTTCAGGTCATGCTCCCACTATCTCTAAGGGACTTTGCTGACATGGACCATGCCAATGAGGGGGCGCTCCATTTTCTAAATTAGACCTCTAGAGAATACCTAGAAAAGAAAATACTGTCATTTCATGCCCTTAAAAAATGGGTTATACAAATTCATTCCTATTAATCAACTAACAAGTCTTTATTGCATGCTTACTACATGCTAGGCAGAATGGAAAATAGGTATGATTCCTGCTGTTAAGTACTTTCCACCTAAATAATAGAGTCATTTTTTAGTTTCTAATCATTAGCATTCTGATACTATATTTTTGCAGCTTTTAGAACTGTGCTGGGCCTATTCTGTGCATCTGGGCTTCTAGGGAAGATATAAGACTGCTCTGGATGGAATCTTATCGCCAATCCCTTTCCTCATTAGCTATTTCCAGGGGTTGAATGTGGTTTCATTCCTACACCATAGGTGATTCTCTATGAAGAGGAAATGGGAAATCACGAGGACACAGGGGAGAAGCTCCATTTAGCCCAGGAACAGCTTGCCCTGGCTGGGAACAAGATTGTCTCACTAGAAAGGAGCTTAAACCTCTACAGGGATAAATACCAGACGTCCCTGAGCAACATCGAGCTACTGGAGTGCCAAGTGAAGATGTTGGAAGGGGAACTCAGCGGGATCGTCAGCCAGGTAGGATTTAAACCAGACCACTTAGAACAGGAGCTCCAACAACTGGGCTTGCTCCCAGAGAGACCCTGTCTCCATCCCAGCCTCTTCCACCAGAAACTCAAGCCTTCAACCTGATGTCATTCCTGACCTTGAATTTTATAGCCCTCAACTTTTGAATGTCTAGCCTTCAAGTCCCCTAGGGGTGTTCCTTAACAATGTTGATGTCCTTAATAAACACAAAGAATCATTGCTTTAAATGAGACAGAAAGAAAATTGCCAACTGGGCTCTCAAATATGCCATGTTCCCATGGGGGCCCAGAAAGGTCTCTTCCAGGTGACAGGACTCATGCAAGCCCTGACTTCAGAACCAAACAGGAGAAAAAAGGCAGGAAACATGGCAAAGAATAGCCCAAAATGCCCGGATTTGTGCCTGTTTTGTTTTTTTTTAATAATTATACAAGTAATACAGTGATATAGGTTCTTTAGGATGAACTGAGATTAAATGTGGATCTGTCTTTGGTCTCCATCCAACTCTCCTCCTCTTAGGCATTCACTCAAATCATGTGCTAGGAATCTCCCGCAGCCTTTTGCCACACAGTTAAGGTTTCCTTTTTACATAAATGGGCCATTTTATAAATGTGGCTCTACAACTAGCTTTTTAAATGTCTTCCTTGACCTTTTCTTTTAGTTACTATCTTGTATTCTGTAGTATGACTATATCATCTAATGACCTGTTTGTCTGTTTTAAATAAGATATAAAAAGCATCCTTATTTCTATGGAGTAATTTCCTGAAGTGGGATTTCTAGGTCAAAGGATAGACTTATTTTAAATGTTTAAAGATGCTTCTAAATTGCATACTAAGGAGGTTCTGACAGTTAACATTTTCACCAACTAAACTGAGTTTATTCCCCAGTCTTTTTAAATTGTACTAACCTGATGGATGAGAAATTAAAAAGATTTTCTCACTGCAATTTTATTTCCTTTAATCCTAATATTTGTGGACTGGGTTCTCCAGAAAGCAGATTCTGAGACAGATCAGCATGCAATATATTTTTAAGAAGAGATCTTGGTATAAACTCCTGTGAGAGGAAGAAGGAAGCAGATTTGGGCAAAGGGAAAAGTTAGCAGTGATGCAGTCCCCACAAAGGCCTCAGCAACCCCATGAGGGGCTCTGGAGCTGGATGGACTTTCAGAGCAGTCCTAAATTAGGAGGAAGGCAACTGACCTTTATACTTCCAAGTTGATCAGTTATTGGATGTGAACTGTCCCTAGGGAGAGGCATGACCTTGGGTAAAGCAGTTTCCTTCAGGCCCAGAAATCCCCAGAAAAGAGTGACAGCTAAGAGCTGTCTTAGGACAAAACAGCATTACTCCCTGAAACTGGAGAGTAAGTCCTTCAGAGCTGAAGGGGCCTGAGATCCCACTGTGGGATCCCAGTGACCACTCCACTAATGAAGTATAGATTGCTCTTCTTAAGTGTATTGGTCATGCGGACTTCTGTTGTACAAATTACTTGTTTAAATTCATAACCTATTTTTATTTGGTTATTAGTCTTTTTCATATTGACTTATAGGACCTTCTTAATATATTGCAGATAATAATGCTTCATTACATGTGTTCCAAATATTTTCTTCCAATTTGTAACTTTTCACTCGACTTTATTAATGATGTTTTTCCACCATACAGAAATTTTTCATTTTTATGAAGTTGAAACTCTCAGTCCTTCTTTATGGATTCTAGGTTTTATGTCTTGCTTAGGAAGGACGTCTCTATCCCCAGAGTAACAAAAGCTTATCTTACATTTATTTTAAAACTGTTATAATTTTATATTTTCTGTTTTTATCTTTAGTCCCTCTGGAATACACACACACACACACCAAGAAGTAAGGCTGTAATGTTATGTGTATCAAGGTAGATCTTCAGTTGTCCCAGCTTCACTTAATGAACATCCCATCATTTCCCCACTGCTTTGAAGTGCCAACTCCATATATATACTGATACTGATTCTTCTGTCCAGTGATTCTCTCTGGACTCTTTTTTTTAACCTACTGTTATCCCTTGGTCCCTGCACCAAAGTCATTCCAGGATCCCATGACCACCAAAATCCATAACTGTTCAAGTCCTTTGTATAAAATGGCATAATATTTGCATATAACCTCTGCAATATCCTCCCATGTACCTTAAATCATCTCTCTATTACTTATAATACTTAATACAGTGTAAATGCTATGTAAATAAGTTGTGTTATGCTATCTTGTTTAGAGAACAATAATAGAAAATAGTCTGTGTGTGTTCAGTACACACACGGTCATTGTAGGGCTAACTAAATAGTAGGTATTTTCCATCTGTGATTGATGCAGAACCTCCAGGTATCAAAGCCCAACTGTACTTACCAGTTCCTGCCACAGGGTCAGACATTTTTAGTGACTTTAATTGATAGTAGGTTCAGAGAGCTTCTTTTAGGCTGGGTCCTCCCTCACTGTCCTTTACTTTCAAATATTTATTGATTGCTTTTTAGATCTTTTCTTAGTGAAATTTAAATTCATCTTGACATTTATGTTTTTAAAAAGGCAACGCATCATCTGTAGTCTATGGATTCATTTACATGTATATAAGTGTATAGATAAAGTTCTAGATAATTATACACAAATTGTCTTCTTTGAAAAATCATGGAGGGGGCCTCCCCGGTGGTGCAGCGGTTGAGCGCTGGGTTGTGAAGCTGCCTGCAGCCTCTGCAGCGCTGGTTCGATCCCTGGCCTCCGGGCGAGGGTCCCACGTGACGCTCAGAACTCCCCTGCCGCCCGCCATTCTCCTCAGCAGAGCAGTGTACTTAGTCAGTCTGCTGGCTCTGCTCTCCCCTCTGACTCTGGTGAATTCTCTCACGGTACCCCGCTTCTGACTGTACCCAGTGCTAGTATAAATAAATAAATAAATCTTTCAAAAAAAAAAAAAGAAAAGAAAAATCATGGATTGTGGAATTATAGGAAATAGCCAAAAAGAATGTTAATGTTTTATTTATATGTTACAACATTTAGAATATATATATATGTACATAGTATATGTAGTACCTGTGCATTTTGAAATTAATTTTAAGAGAAAAGTAAGATTGATACACAACTAACAATATGGAAAATACCCTACAAAATTTATCAAATGAAAATAAAACATTTAGAAAAGTGTGTAGGAGACTTTGATTTGTGTAGGGGGAAAAGTAGTGACTTTTATATTTGCATAAAACATGTCTGGAAGGTATTTCAAAAAACCTGATTGGAAAGAAACCTATATCAGTAGGTCAAGTTGAAGGAATACTGACTTTTCAGTGGATTCTCTCATGAAAGGATCAAGCTTTTTACAATGGGTATGCACATGTTTGTTTGGTTTTGTAAGAGAACCATGATTCACATATATTAACATAAACTTTCAGAAAATAAGTCTAGAGATTGCCCATACTCATGGCATTCTCAAGATAAACTTGAAAATTTTGAACAAAACCTATCAATTATTTTTAAATATTCCAGGATCCTGAGAACAAAGGTGATCATTCCAAAGTGCGTATATATACTTCTTCCTGCATGATTCAAGAGCATCAGGAGACCCTGAAACGATTGTCTGAAGTCTGGCAAAAGGTTTCTGAACAGGACGATCTAATCCAGGAACTTCGAAATAAACTAGCTTGCAGTAACTCTTTGGTAAATGCCTTCTCAAACATTTCTCTGAGAGACCCAAGATAAAACCACAAGGAAAGAAAAAGGGTGGGGGAGTCACCTAAATCATTCTCTTCCACCAGGGATCCTCAAATGTCATGTGCCACTAATGATGGGCATACTTTCTGAGAAATGTGTCATCGGGCACTTCTATAGTTGTTCAAACATCAGAGTATTATTGCACAAACCTAAATGTTATAGCCTACTACACACCAAGGCTCTATGTATAACCTCTTAGGACCACCAACATATATGCAGTGTGTCATTAAGTCTGTCTTAAATGTAATTAAGCCACATTGTTTATACTTGCCTTCACTTTTTGTTCATATGCACATAGCCCAACCCACACAAAATTGGAGATTCTAAGGAGATTTAAAATCTCTCACACAACAACCTCCATGCCCATCCACAGAAAAACTAAAGAGATTGAGAGAAATGGTTAAAGAGCTATCCATGTTATGGAATAATATGCAGCCAAGAAAAAGAATGAAGCAGATCTGTAAGCAGGCTGCATGGAAGGATGTTTGTAATACATTGTTCAGTTAAGTTAAAGAACCCTGCATATAGTTCAATTCCTTTGTGTTTTTTTTTTTTTTTTAAATCTTTGATCATAATATAGAAGTGTTTACCCGAAATTACCAATAGGGGGCCTCCCCAGTGGCTCAGGGGGTTGAGCGCAGAGCTGTGAAGCTGTCCGCAGACTCTGCAGCATGGGTTCAATTCCCGGCCCCACATGGTGGGGCAGACCTCTTCTGCCTCGCCTGCTGCTCCCCTCAGCAGTGTTTTCGGTCCATCTGCCTGTTCTGCTCCCCGCTCTGTCTCTGGTGAATTCTCTCACCCTCCCGCACCTCTGGCCTGTACCCCAGTGCTTGTATAAATAAATAAAACTTTTAAAAAGAATTACCAATAGTGCCTCTTCCCTTTAGTGCAAGTAAAACTGGGGAGAATAAATGAAGATGAAACTTTCACACCTTAATTTCAATACATGGGTTTTATTGTAATTATTTCCAATAAATAAGAAGAAAAAAAATCATGATTTTTAAATTTTCAGAGAAAGTACATACATTCACCCTATCTACGAGAAACTGCCTTCTTTAGTTCTTTAACTTTCAATCTTTGAACTCTGATAGGTACATCTTTCCATCACAGTCTCCAAAGAATCATCTTGTATCTCAAAAACTGGACCTTGCTGAGGTTCAGGAGGGAGTCCAAAATGTGGCCACTGATGAAGTCTATAAAAACCACTGCTGATGCCTTAGTGGCATAGACACAGTGGATTGACCATTCAGCATAACCAACCTATTCTTGGTTGCAGGTTCTGGAGCGTGAAGAGGCTTTGATAAAATTACAAGCAGACTTTGCTTCCTATACAGCCACCCACAGACATCCTCCCAGCTCCTCAGAAGATTGTGAAGACATCAAAAAGGTGGGTGAACTTTTGCTTATTTGTGTCTAATGGGGTTGAGGCATGTTGGGTTTGATTCTGTGTTTTCTTGCTTATTGTAATTATCATATTTTGTTTTCTTGTTTTTCATTTTCATGTTTTATGTTTTATATTTGTGTGCCTTTGGCTAGCCCTCCCACAAGCATACTGTATGTAATGCATAGCAAGTCCCATCAGGGTTTTCTGGCAGCAATATATTTGGGAACTGAATTTGAGAATTGCACCTTAAACCACTTGCAACAGTGCATCTAAACAAGACAGCGACTCCTGTCGGCTTACTTAGATTAAACAGGACTGTTCAGACTTTAGTTTCTGGTTGGAACTAAGAAGTAGCAAATGTAGGGAAGATTATTAATACAAATTCACCCCCTATATTGAAAACCCTATGTTTTCAAATGTCAAATTTATCTCAAAAGCTGATTCTAATAATGAATAAGCATTTAAGTCATGTAAACAAAGCACGATTTAACTAACAGTCAAAAATAGATTAGGTCTGCTCCTAGGAAGGTCTTATCAGTCGTGTCTGAACTTGAGGTATAAGACATAGGTACAAGACTCAGTCACATGAGGTGGCGCTGTGGGAAGGTGAGGGTCTGCTTGCTGGTGTTGAAGGCAAAAGATCTCTGGCAGAAAGAGGAAACCACACAAATTTTGCAAGCCATCCCTTAGTGGAGGAGCACGCTTCTCTTTCTAGAACTTTCAGAGACAGAAAGTTTGGATAAATGAGGAATCAAAATTGTACTTTGGGGGTCCTTCTTGAACATCTATCCATATTTATTTTAACAGTCACTCCCACATTATTCCCATCCTGACCTATAACATCTTATCACATTTTTTTTTGGTCTGAAAAATGTCTTTATTTCTCCCCCTTTTTTATGGTGGTAAAAGTTCATAACATTAACTTTACCTTCTTAACCATTTCTAGTGGTTAAGTATGGTTCAGTTGTGTTAAATTTATTTACATTGTTGTGCAACAGATCTCTCCAACTTTTTCATCTTGTGAAACTAAAACTCTAAAGTTCTCTCTATACCAATCTATACCTAGTAGTTCTCTCTACACCAATCCACATTTTAAAATGATACAGAGTTCCCCAAGAAACAAAATACTCCTACCCCCACCATTTTCTACATGCTGTCCAAAGAAGTCATGTGTCCTGGCTATTCCAGTATTCCACTAGCACATCAGAGTGCACCTCAGCAGTCCTCTTCCAGCTGAGGCCGCAGGTGTGACATCCTGCCCTGAGTCCAGCAGTGCCCACACTCAGCTCACATGGTGATATCTGTATGTCTCCAGCTGTGCGTCTTCAGGCTCCAGCAATCCCTCACTGTCAACTGAGAAATCACTAAATATCTTTCCTCTTGATACCCAGATAACTAATTGCTCCTCCTCAGCCACATGTTCCTGCTCTCTTGATTGCAACCCGTTCCCCTCTTCTTCTGGGTAGAAGCTAAAGTTCTTACTGAGACTAAATCCCCACATGATGTGATCCCCCCTAACTTCTCCACTCCATCTCCTCCTCTTCTCTGTGTTCTCATCCCAGGGCCTTGTGACTAGCTAGTCCCCCCTGTCTGCCAAGCCCTTCCCTCAGATACCTACAACATAGCTCATGCCCTCCCCTCCAGCAAGTCCCTGCTCACAGGCCACCTTCTCAGTGTGCCCAGCCCCTCCATTCTATTTAAAGGTGCACACTCCAGGGCCTCCCCAGTGGCACAGTGGGTTGAGCGCAGCGCTGTGGAGCTGTTCTGTAGTGCCGGTTCAATTCCTGGCTGGCCAGGGAGAAACTCACATGGCGTGGCAGACCTCTCCTGTCTCGCCCGCAGCTCCACTCAGCAGTATTCTCCATCATCTGCCTGTTCTGCTCCCCACTCTGTCTCTGGTGAATCCTCTCACCCTCATGCACCTCTGGCCTGTACCCCAGCTATTGTATAAATTTAAAAAAAAAAAACTTTAAAAAAAATAAAGTGTATCGATGGTGGGTTTTAGTATATTCACAAAATTTGGGCAGTCATCACCAGAACATTTTCATCACTCCAAAAAAGAAACCTCCATGTCTCCATGAGCCCCCCTCATTTCCTAGCCCCTGGAAACCACCATTCTAAGCTTCTGTCTGTATAGCTCTGCCTATTCGGGACCCTCGGCATCCCAGAATACATTCCTCCCCCATGTCCTCCTCCTGCCCTGCCCAGATACTAAAGCACTTGCAGGAGCAGAAAGACAGCCAGTGCCTGCACGTGGAGGAATACCAGAACCTCGTGAAGGACCTGCGCATGGAGCTAGAAGCTGTGTCAGAACAGAAGAAAAACATCATGAAGGGTGAATCATGAGCTGGTGGGCTGTGGCGGGGGGAGCCAGAAGGAAGCCCGGAGCCCTCTTCTGAACAAGAAGCCCTCTGCCCCTTCACGTTGCAGACATGATGAAACTAGAACTAGACCTGCATGGACTCCGGGAAGAGACATCTGCCCACGTGGAAAGGAAGGACAGGGAGCTCACCTTTATGCAGCGGCGGCTGCAGGAGCTGCAGATCCAGTTCACAGAGACCCAGAAGCTTGGTTTGAAGAAAGACAAGGTAAGGTGAGAAGCTCTCTGGTTAGAACCACCAGCAGGGCAGGTGTGAGGCCAGGCTTTGGTCCAAGTTGTTCTGTGGTTGCTGAGGGAGTGTCAAGTTGTGCATCCGAGACTGGAATGTTAGGGCCCAGAGGTATTTGTTAGTACCTGCAATAAATGAATAAAATGTGCATATCCACAAACCATAATAGAGATATGGACTTTCAGGAGTTCTTCCCCCAGCCATCAAGGTAGGGAGTTTAGGATACCCTTGCATTGTTCCCTTATGCTTTTGTTTGTGCTTGAGAGTGGAGAGAAGTGCTATAAAATAATGTGTAGCCTTATTAAGCACTTCAAGTGAATTTCAATTTTTAAAATTCTAAGTAGCTTGTGAATGTGCAAATCAGGCTTGAAAATATTAATGGAGTTATGTCCTAGAAGATCTATAATTGCCAACATAACTCAAGCTTAAGAATGGAACCAAGAACAGAAAGGCTATGAAACCAATGCCAGCATTTGTAGTCAATGCTAATCCAACTTTCACCAGATCCAATCTAAACTTTCACCAGAGCTAGTGGAAGTCATCCAACTAATTGGCTGGCTGGTTATTACATATCCAACAAATTGAACACCTGCCGTATACCAAGCACTATCCTAGCCACTAAAAATGTAATAAAATTTGCCATAGCCTTACTCTCAGAGTTTACTTTTTCAGTGTGGAGAGACAGACAATAAAGAAATAACAGGGTTAATATATAATGCGTCAAGTACTAATAAATTCCTAAAAAGGCTTGGAGGCTGCTTTACACAGGATGGGGGAAGGCCTCTCTATAAGGTGATGTTTGGGCAGAGATTTGAATGAGGGGCGGAAGTCATCCAGCCAAATGTCTTAAGGAACAACTTTTTAGGTAGAGAGAATAGCAAAGGCAAAGGTGCTCCATCTATCTACTTGGAGCATTCCCAGAGACCGGCCAAAGCAGATGAGGGTGATAAGAGGGGAATTCAGACAGATAGCCAAGGCCATGTCTTGAGTTTCAGGAAGAAGGTCACTATAAGGACTGTGACCTTTTTCAAGTGAGATAGAGTCAATCGCAGGTTTTAGGAAGAGGCATCACGGAATCTGACTTGCATTTTTAGAGGCCCTCTTGGGCTGCTGTGTTAAGAATAGTGAGGGAAGGTCCTCCCCTGGTGGCACAGCAGTTGAGCGCTGGACTGCGGGGCTGCCCGCAGCCTCTGCAATGCCTGTTCGATCCCTGGCCACCGGTGAGGGTCCCACATGGCGCAACAGACCTCTCCTGCCACGCCTGCTGCACCCCTCAGCGCTGTGTATCATCAGTCTGCCTGTTCTGTTCCCTGCTCTGGCTCTGGTGGGTTCTCTCACCCTCCCGCGTTTCTGACTGTACCCAGTGCTTGAATAAATAAATTAAAAAAAAAAAAGTGAGGGGAGACAGGGAGTGAAGGTGGGCAGGAGGTGATGGCTGGAAGGAGGCTCAGGACAGTCTCTGTTGACTTTGCCCTGCCATTGCTGTCTTTATCAGGATTGACACTTTGTTTCTCTTAGCTCCTCCAAGAGAAAGATGAGTTGCTGCACCAGCTAGAGAAGGAACTGACACAGGTTCAGAACAACCTCATGAAAAAGGAGATGGAGTTGGAGAAGAAACAACAAATGGCAGCAGAACTCGAAAATGCCATCCAGGAAGTGAAGCAAGATAAATGCAAAATGGGAGCGTGTTCAGCCCTGAAAGCTGAGAACCAGAAGCTGAAGGACTATCTGGAAGAAGCCCAACAGCAGCAAAGACTGGCAGGTAAGTCCCCAGTAGTCCCACCACACTTCCAACCCAGGGGGTCAGAACAACCTCCTTCTACATGACCCTTCCCTACCTCTTCCTACTCAAGATCTCACCCTAACAGCTTACAGCAGTTACACATGCCCTCCCCAGCTCCATCACTGACCCCAAATTCTCCTGCCCTTCGAAGCCCCTACCACATAGTAGGTGCTCAGCTGAGGGGAGCAGACTGCTGACCTCCATACCCACCATTTTCTCAGCGGCCTCAGGTGAAAGCCCTATCCTTTCCTGGCCACTGGGAGAACAAGGCTATGCTCTTTGTTTCTTTGCCCCACACTCCTTTTCATCTTCTCAAGGACTTTCATCACATAGCTCGCCTATTTCTTCCTGGCTTTTAATCCTCTCCCTCCTCTTGCCACCAACATTTTTTATTTCTCACAGCTTGCACTGTGGATTGGGTCCATGCCCCTCTGCGGAAACTGCCTCCTCAGAGGTCACCCATAACGTCTTGCTTTGGATATGGGGTTTCTTTGGGGGTAATGAAAATGTTCCGGAATTAGATATTAGTGATGGCTGCACAATTTTGTGAGTATGCCAGAAACCACTGAACTGTACACTTTAAAAGGGTAAATTTTATGCTGTGTGAGTGATAGATCAATTTGGAGGAAAAAAAGAAAGAAAGGTCCAAATCATGGCTTCCTTCACCCTGCTTTAACCCTGTGTGTGCGTGTGCTATTGAGCCCCCACAACTCGACAATTGTCAGTTACCTTTGGAGCCACAAGTCCCTAGCTCTTCCACAGATCTCACCACTATTTCCTCTTTTCCCTCCTGCTCTGATAGGAGTCGTCCATCCCTAAGCCTCTGCTCCTCCCTCCTCTTCCTCTATACACACTCTTTACTAAGCACCTCTTCTGCTCGGGGCTGCTCTTCTCTGCAGTTGACTCCAAAATCGAGAGCCCTAGCCCTGACTTCACACTTGTGGTCAGTCTTGTTTGCAGAGACTAACTGCCCATGGGCCACCCACCACCCCCTCCAACTCCGCATTCCAAAAACTGAACCTGTTTTCTTCCCTGCTTAAAAGCATATCCTCCTACTTCCAGGGTGCATAATTACTTCGACAATAATACCACTCCAGCTGGTGCAGCCTCTCATCTTCTCTTAAAGGAGCGGGAAACCAGAAGGGAGTGAAGAGAGAGATGTTTATAGTGGATATCGTGGTAGAAAGTATAGGATGTAGGGATGTATTTGGCATAGAGAAACTCCACTAGGCAACTTACTGGGATGTTTTCCTCTTCATACCCAATGGAGGCAAGGACTTGGACTAAAAGGATATTGTAGGAATTCATTCTCCATTCTATTCCTCTCCAGTTTTCCTAAACCTCTCTTTCCTTTATGCTAATCCCTACTCAGTTTTACAAAGTCCTCCCAATCCCCCTGTCATCTGTGCTCTTACTCACCTCTGCCTCCCACCATTCCACCCCACTTTCCAAGTACAGCTTGTCTTCCCCAGCCCCTCCCTGCAATGCCGCCCCAATTCCCCCACAGTGCATTTACTCTCCATTCCCCCATGGCAGTGCCCTTCCTTCCACTTCCTCTAAGGCCCAGCTCAACCTTTGTTCCTCTGTAAGCCCACCTCCAGCTGTTCTTTCCCATATTGCTAATGCAAGTTTAACATCACAGCATTCTCCGTGCCAGGTGGACAGCTCATTTCTCCCTCATTCCACTGTAAACTCCATGAGGGCCAGCATCTGTCCCCGGTGACATGTCACATAAAAGAGACTCAGCAATTTCTCCCAGTTTGTTTTAGCCAAGAAAGAGTCACAACTGGGGAGCAGTTGAAGATAGATCACTCAACAAAGCTTCTAGGGAGGTATAGGGAAATGGAGAGGAATGAGGACAGATTGGAAATTGACACAGGTCACAAAATGAAGGAACCAACTTTCTAACTGGCCTTCATTAAGAGAGCTTAGTGACACGTACTTCCTTCTCACATGAGATTGTCCCCGGCTCATCTCCTGCCCTCTGCAGCACAGCAAGCAGCCCAATATAAAGAAGAGGCCGTAATAGCACAGGGTAACCTGGAGGATACTCAGAGGAAACTGCAAAACTGCCTTTTCATGGAGAAGCAGAAAGCAGATACCATCCAGGAGCTACAGAGAGAACTCACAGCCAACAGGTACCACAGGTTCACCTCCAGAGACAGGCCCTGCCCGCTGTGAGTCTGTTAGAACCACTCTGGGCAGCTGCCCAGGAGCAGGCTAGCAAGCCCTGGGTGGCCAGCTCACTGTCTGTCCTCCATTTTGCTCTAGGAAACGAATAGAGGAGCTGTTGTCAGAACACAGTGAGACCCTGAGGAAGCTTGAAAATTCAGAAAAGGAAAGGAAGCAGCTTCAGAAGACATTGTCTGAACAAGAAGCGAAAGTGAATGAGCTGCTAGATCATATAAAACTCCTGAAGCAGCAGGTATAAAGGGCAAGTAGGCACCGGCTCAAGCTTTTGCTCTGCTTAAGATGAAATATGTTGGTCTTCACTTGGCAAGATGGCACCACCCATCCATTGCAAGCTAATTGTCCAGAGTTTATGTGCAAGTGCTAACCCAGCCACTGAGCTCCAGTTCCCACGACCAATCCTAAGATTTTCAAGGGCTAAGCCTGAATTCTCCCAAGACTCAAAAGTTAACCTTGCCAATCAATTTAAAGGTTTTGATCTCTGAATTATTCTTAAGGTTTTTTTTTTAAAAAAAAAAAAACTTTATTCAAGTGAAAATCAAAATCAACAAAAAACTATGAACCAGAGATACTCTATGGGGGGTGGGGAGCGGGGAGGGGGGGGATTGGGGTCAAAATAAGAGGGTTGCAATTGTATGGGGAATATAAAAATAAAATTTATTTAAAATAAATAAATAAATATAAATTAATTAATTAAATTAAAAATAAAAATAATAAAAATAAAATAAAATAAATTTAAAAAAACTTTATTCAAAGAAGTTTTTATGTGGAAAGATTTGGTGAGTAAGTGGGAGAGGAAATGGATGCCTGGAAACTGGATATATAAATAAAATTAAGTTGGTGTATTTAATTGAACAATGAGAAAATGTTTCTGAGCATCAGAGGAAACTATTATACATGTTAAATAACCAAGGAGTTGTTTTCATGTTTATTTATTTCTACATTCCTTTTGTACAGTTATCTAAGGATTTTTTTCCCAAAAAATATATACAGACTAAGACTGTCTTCAGTACAATTAGTATAGTCTTTATTTTCTCAGAACAAGGAGCAAGCCTCCAGCATAAGCAAACTAAAAGATGAACTTCGGGAGACAACAAAGTCACTGGAGGAGAAGCTGGAGCAGCTGAAAAAATGCAAAGAAAAGGAGAAGTTACTGGAACAAGAGTTTGAAGGACTCCAAGAGGAAGAGAGAAAGAAAGAAAAGATGGTGAGAAGAGAGGCTGGCAAGAGCCATGGTCTGGAATCTGGGGTCAGGCATGAATCCAGATGGGTGTGGAGGAAGACGAGGCCATGGGCGCTTAGCAGAGACAGGAGGGAAGTGGGGGAGACAAGGGACTGGGAGAGAAGGCCTAAGGGTAGAGGAGCTGTGAGTGAGGGAAGGAGGGGTACACTTCTGTGGGAGTCTGAAGATAACACCTTTCTGGACTTTGTTCTTTAATGGGAGAGCAGTTAAAGGAGAATTTGAGAAAGTGTGAGGAGGAAAATGAGAGTCTCAAAGGACAGTTAAAGCAAAGTTGTGCACAACTGGAATCCTCTCTCTGCAAACTCAACACCTCCCAGCAAGCCATCCAAGAGCTGAATAATGAGGTGAGTAAACCAAAAAAAGACCCAAGATGGTGGGAAACTTGAACCCCACAATAACCCTTGACCTGACATCATCACCTATATCTCCTCCACCATAAAATAGTCTCTTCCACACATGGAAGGTTTTGTTTCCTATCTGGTGGAACTCCCAAGTTATCTAGGCTTTGGCATCAAGTCTTCCAATGTAGCATTTTAGATCAGAGTTGAGTGAATCCATTTTGGGGGGCAATTTGCTATGGAACATTTTTGAAAATTATCCCAAAGCGCAAAAGGAGGGTGGAAATTGTCCTAAGCGCTACAAATAAAGATGACAAAAAAGGAGTAAATGGCATCTAACATGTGCAGCTCTGCTTGAATTCAGCCTTCCTTTATCAACTATCTATTTAGTCCTTTGCCTGCCTTGCATCTCTTTACTCCCAAGTAGATAGACATAAATATATCATGATCCTCGATTTACAGAGGGAAGAAAGGCTGAGATTCAAAGTAATGGAATGGGCTAACACATGGACCTGGGTCATCTGGCTCTAATATCTGGCTCCTGACCCCTTCCCCATTCATCATGAAAAAACAGCACTTTCCCCACCTGAACACATTCCATCTTTGTGAATCAAAAATAAATACATCCTCTTGAGAGACCAAGCAACTCCAGTTCCTTCATAATACTTTTTAAAGTTTATCTCTTGAAATTCTGTGATTATTCTAAGTATAAGAACAGCACTGCCCACTAGAACTCTATGCAGTGAAGGGAAATTTCTCTATCAGAGCCACGCAATACTATATCCACTAGCCACCTGTGGCTACTGCGTGCTTGGAATATGGCCTCATATCTCGAAATATTTTCCATCTCTTTGATTCTTGTACATTTTTAACTATGTTTCATAATCACTTACTGTTACAAGAACCCTCATTTATTTGTATACATTTATCCTATATTTGAGTGAGCTCTATCCTATGGAACTCACAGGAAATTGTAGCGTGTCAATTGACAAACTACAAATTGTAGTTTGTCAACTGCTTCTTATATCTTTTCTAGGTAGATGGTTACATCATTTGCAAGCAACATCAATTTGCTAAACCTTTATAAATTTATACTTATGTCATTTTTCTTGCTTTTTTGCTTGGGTTGGTGCCTGCAGTGTGGTATTCAACAGTAGCACCCTTTCCTTGCTTTATACATTAATGGAGTCCATGCTCCATTATGATGCTCCCTCTAAGCTTCCTGTTGTTACCCTTTATCAAGTCTTTGATTCAATTCCCCAGTCACTAAGAGCTTTATCAATATGGATGTTGAATATTATCAAATCCTTCTCTTCTAGAAACCATTGAAATGATTCTATCACTTTTGTCCTTAAATCTGTCATGTGGTGAATAAGATTAATTGATCCTAATTTTGGTACACCCTTGCTTCTCTGCTATGAATCCCGGCTGTGTATAATATGTCACTCTTAATACAACACTTACCATATTCTAAGAAGTAAAATAAGTCCACTATGACTGGAATGATGCAAAGGGAACATTGGTAAAGGATAAGAGTAGTAGGGTAAGCAGAGGTAGATATTGTGGCCTCTACTAAGAAATGTTGGGTTTTATTCTAAAAACAATGGGAGGAGAGTGGTGTGATTTCCTCAAAGGAACAGGAGAGATGATTTGATCTATGTTTTCAAAATATAACTCTGACTGGCTTCCCTGGTGGTGCAAGGGGTTAAGCAGCGCACGATGAAGCAATCCAAAGCCTCTGCAGCACGAGTTCGACCCCTGGCCGGCCAGGGAGCATCCCACATGGCGCAGCAGACCTCTCCTGCCTCTCCCGCTGCTCCCCTCAACAGTATGTTTCAGTCAGTCTGTCTGTTCTGTTCCCCACTCTGTCTCTGGTGAATCCTCTCACCCCCCGCATCTCAAGCCTGTACCCCAGCTGTTGTATGCATAAATAAATAAATCTTTAAAATATATATGTATGTATAACTCTGACTAAGAAAAAGATATAAGGAAACCAGTTAGAAGGCTATTCTGTCCAAGCTAGAGTGAGTGATGTCAGTTAGCAAATTCAGAATGTGTTTTTGGAAGTAGAACTGACCAGATTAACTGATGAAATAATATGAGACAAAGCAAGAAAGTGAGGATGACTAAGTGGAACTCACTTATAAAATCATCTAGGTCTAATGCCTTTGACTAGGAAGGAAGTGAATCTTTTAAGAGACCTTTGATTAGAATTCTTTGATTCTGTGATTTACATATGTCTGTCTACAGGTTTTTAGTATCTTTATTCAAGATACTAAAATTTCTCATGTTAGAGAAATTTAAAACAAACCTTTCATTTAGCTTCTGCCATCACTGTGATTTTTTTTCCACTACCCTTCTTTTTACTAACACGGGCCTGTGGTGACATTTCTCAATTATCAAGAACTTATGGTGAATTATAGTTTCTCCAGTGACTCCCCTGGTTTACTAGGAAGATCCCACTTCACTCCATATTTTTCAAAACTCCCCATAAAAGGGGCCTCCCCACGTGGCGCAGGCAGTTGAGCGCAGCACTGTGAAGCTGTCCGCAGCCTCTGCAGCGCAAGCTCGATCCCTGCCAGTGGGTGAGGGTCCCACATGGCGCAGCAGACCTCTCCTGTCTTGCCCGCTGCTCTCCTCAGCAATGTATTTCATCATTCTGCCTGTTCTGTTCCCCGCTCTGTCTCTGGTGAATCCTCTCAGGCTCCCGGGCTTCTGGCCTATACCCCAGTTCTTGTATAAATAAATAAATAAATCTTTTAAAAAAAAAGTCTCCATAAAAGATGCAGTTCTATTTCCAGAAGACAAAAGTATTCCATCTTTTAGGAACAGTTTCACCCTAGTGCATGTAGACACAGGGTCAGAAGTCCAGTCTAACACTTCTCATCTCACAAATTCCTAGGGTCAAAGATAATCAAACTTTCCATCTGAAAAAATAATAAATTTCAAACACTGAGCAGTTACTGAAGAAAACCTAAGAGAATGTTTTTGTGTATACAGCCACATGGAAAATGCAGGTGTACTAGAATACCAAATAACACAAGCCAGGCCCATGAATTCCTAAGGTCTCCCTCCTGCTTCCAGAGTCAGAAGAAGAGCTCTGTCCATAGAGTATATAATAAGACAGCTAGTTATTCAATGTGTTCATGATCATAATAACTCACAGCTGTATGAGTTCCTTCTTACACACATAATCTCATTTTATCATCACAAAAACTATGAAAAGCTGAAATTACCTCAATTTACAGAAAAGAAAACTGAGACTCTGCAAAATTAAGAAAATGACAAAATTAAGAAAATTAACCGGGGCCTCAATCCACATCCTCTAACTCTTACTCTCAATTCCTTTTAGCTATACTAGGAATACTCATTACTAAGTTTAACACACAGACGTCAGTGTTTAAACACACTTCTGCCACAGCTGTATGTTCAATTCATCCCTAATTCCAAACATCGCCCATTGCAATATCTCATTCAGCCAAAAAACAAATAAAATCAGATAGTTTTTACTGAGCACCTAGACAGTAGGTGAAATGAAAAAGCACACAGAGTCCATTTTCATGGTGCATCAAGTCTAGTGAATTCTTTTTTTTTTTTTAAAGATTTATTTATGCATACAAGAAGTGGGGTACAGGCCAGAGATGCGGCGAGGGGGCAGTGAGAGGATTCACCAAAGACAAACTGGGAAGCAGAACAAGCAGATTGACTGAAATACACTGCTGAGGGCAGCAGCGGGCCAAGCAGGAGAGATCTGCTCCATGTGGGTATCTACCTGGCCAGGGATTGAACTCGTACTACAGTGGCTGCAGATAGCTTCATAGGTTGCGTCTTAACCCCCTGAGCCACCAGGGAGGCCCAAGTCTAGTGAATTCTTAAACTAAGAAACTAAGGGAGGCATAAGGTACAGCTGAAATTTGTCTTGTTTGCTGTCCTAGATTTGGATTCCAGATCTTATCAAGGGCTGCTGGGTCTGTGAAAGGAATATTTCATGTGCTTGGCACATTGCGCCCTGGGACTTCCAGGATATTTGGGGGACATAATACCCAGGAGGAGAAGTGTAGTGAGAGGGCTGCAGAAGAGCCTGTGAGGGCTCTTTGTAACAGTGAGGTGAAGATGTGGGCATTACCACAGCCTGCTCTGCAGGTTGATTCAGACAGAGTCCATTTGCTATAGACACAGAAAATGAATCTGTGGCTATGAGTTTGACAGAGATGTTCCCCTTCCCTAAAGATCACCTGTCAGAAGGAGTCCTTAGACGATCTGCAGGTCCAGCTGGATATGGCTGTGCAGAGAGAGAAGCAAAATCTCCTGAACACCGTCAGTAAGGAAATCTATGAAGAGTTATCACGAAAATCAGCCATCTACCAAGATGACCTGGCACAAGCACTCGATAAGGTGGGCCACCCCCTCTCTGCTCCTGGGCTCTTGTGGGGCAAAGAAATATCAGAGTAGCATGAGACAGACAAGAGCTGAATTCCTGCATGACTGGCTGTCAACAGGGCCATCAGCAAATCTTTGCATGGGCTGGGATGCCCCTCCAGAAGTTTGCTTTCTCTTACTTAGGGTTGTGGGGAGGGGGGGTTGGGGGCGTACAGATGGGAGCCAAATAAAACAAATCTTTCTGCCAAGGGGTGACCCATGGGGCAGGTTTTCCTGAAACATGTATTGTCAAGGGTTCTGATCATGCCTAGCTGGTGTGTTTATATCACTGGAAAGAAGATACATGGGAAGGACAAGAGGGGGTGGGCCAGGGTGTGTGCAGAAAACCAGGCAGTGTCAATTCCTACCCTTCACTGGGGAGGTGGAGGTTCAGGGGTTTGTACCACCCAGGGCCGAAGGATGGGGAGGGACCAGAGCCCTTTCCTATTCAGGACTCAGCAGAGAGGCCCACAGCACTTTGATAGCCACTCTCATCCCATTTGTCTTTACCGGAAGCTGGATCAAGCAACCTCAGAAACAAAGACCCTGCACCGAAGCTTGTTACAGGCTCAAGGAAGGAGAAGCATTCTGGAAGATGAAATCATGGTTTATGAGGATCGAATGAAAAAGCTTAACATGGAATTAAAAAAACTGCAGGGCTTCCACCAAGAGAGTGAGATGGAGGTGAGGAGCAGCCTGGGGCTCAGGCTGCTTTCCTGTTTAAGGTCCCCAACCCAGTTCTTGCACTGAGAACTGAGCCATTCCTCTTTTTTTTTTTTTTTTAAAGATTTATTTATTTATTTATACATGCACTGGGTACAGTCAGAAGCGCGGGAGGGTGAGAGCATTCACCAGAGCCAGAGTGGGGAGCAGAGCAGGCAGAAGGACCAAAGTACACTGCTGAGGGGAGCAGCGGGCGGCAGGAGAGGTCTGCGCACCATGTGGGACCCTCCTCCGGTGGCCGGGGAGCAGCCAGGGATGGAACCAGCGCCGCGGAGGCTGCGGGCAGCTTCGCAACCAGTGCTCAACCGCTGTGCCACTGGGGAGTCCCCATTCCTCTTTTTTTAATGTAATTTTTTTTTTATTTTGTATATTTTTTACATCATTTTTCATTTTTGCACAATGTATGCATTTTCATTTTGGTTATAGTTCCCATACAATCCCCACCACCCCCTTGTTTTGCTCCTACTCCCTCCTCCCCACCCTGTAGCAGGAATTTAGAAAACCTTAATAAGGGACCAGGAAAAAGACTAATTATAATAAAGTAAAAATCAAAATCAACAAGCAACTATAAACCTGAGCCATTCCCTTTGCTCTGTGAACTTCAGCAGAGGCTGCAATGATCAGATCAGGGGCGCCCTCTGCTGGCGACTGAAAATAAAATGCCCTACTAAGGTCCACCCCCAGGCCTTGCATGGGTCCCCTGGAGTTGGGTGGGCAAACTGGGGGCCTCCCTCTCACTTTGTCCTCCTGAGTAGGTGCACGCCTTTGACAAGAGGCTCGAGGAAATGAGCAACCAAGTGTTGCAGTGGCAGAAGCAGCACCAGAATGACCTCAAGATGCTGGCCGCTAAAGAGGAGCAGCTCAAGGCATTCCAGGAAGAAATGGCCACCCTGAAAGAGAACCTCCTGGCAGATGACAAGGAGGTGGGCACTCCTCATCTGCTGACCACGTTGTCCCAGCCCTCCCAGCACACCCCATGCCACCTGGATGCCAGACAGCTCTTGGTGGGGTGGGGGTGTTCGAGAGGAAGGAAAGGACACCACGCCGCTCTATTCAGTCCAAAGCAGGACCTGGGTGCAGTGGGCTCACAAAAGCTGTATCGTTCCAACTATCTTCCTGTGACCTTGCTGATAGAGAAATTGAGCAGAACAGAGGCCCCAGTCCAGAGAAGAGAGTGCCAACTCCCTGTCAGGTACACCTGCTGCCCCTGCCTTAGATGAGCCAATGGGCAGTCCTCCAGGGTCCTCTATGATGCTTTCAGCAGCCCCAGACTCTGCAGGAGAGTCAGCTGCTCAGAGATCTTCAGGCAAGCCTCAAGCCCAGATCCCTGAGCAGTGAAGGTCATGGCAGGAGGCCCACAGGGCCTTTGCTAGAATTAGAAAAAAAGGCATTCCTTCCTCAAGATAATTTTTCTCCCATCTATTTAAACACTGGCTTAACATACAGGTTGCCTTTGCCATGTAAAAGTGGAATGTTCCTGTTTTCTAAGTTATTTGGGGGATCTGGGAATGCTCAAATTTTTCTCCATATGAAACAATGGAAGTAGCATTTCAAGACCCAGTAAAACCTACCAAATCATATTAATAGGAATATTCTACTTCCAGATAGCAGGGAAAGGGTGTTGCTTTTTTAGAACAAACCACTTTAATGTCTTTGGCCTAAAAGTATACATGTACACATCTGCTTTGTGCCTCAATGGTACCTGCTCAGAGATGTCACCTTCGTGGGGGTGCAACCTACTCCGCTAGAGAAGGAGGTCCTGCTGTGCCATCCAGCTCTGGCCTGCGGGGTGGGTGGCAGCCCCTTTTCCTTCTCACAGGAAGAGAGAAGAGGCCTGCTTTGGGAGCAGCGAGGGGATGGGCCTGTGATCCCACCCCTTACTATTTCTTTTTCTTCCACAACAAAGTCCTGTAGCCTGCCCCAGCGGCCTGTGCCCAAAGAAACCTGTAGGCTGCACCGGGAGAATGATCAGATTATGTGCAACATGGAGCAGTGGGCAAAAGAGCAAAAGTGAGTAAGGAAGAGAAAATAAGACAGGGTCCCAAGCTAGGCTGAACTGAAGAGCTGCACACATGCCAAAGAACAGCATAACTCACACACACACGCACATGCTGCCCTCCTGGGAAAACAGTCTAGTCTCCCCCCACACCCATGATTTGGGGATGAAATGGAAGGATCTGGACTCTTCACCTGTTGCAAAGGCCTGCTGTCTTAGAAACAGAGCAGTCCCAAGATAGACGGGGATCTTCAATTTCCCCTTCCCAACCTGGGGCCTGACTTCACTGTCTGGATCCCCTGAACTCGCCCAGGAGCAGGTGACTTTGCACAGGAATTGAACATAGGGGTACCTCTTCATTGCCAGGTGCTCTGGGGACTGTGTGCTAATCCTAGAGCCCAGCAGAAGACTTGCCAAAATCCTGTTCAGCGGTTCATGCCCTTGTTTCCAGGGGTGCAGGGACTCATTTCTCTTGTGGATTCTGTCACAGGATCGCCAACGAGAAGCTAGGAAACAAGCTCCGCGAACAGGTCAAATACATCGCCAAGCTGACTGGGGAAAAGGAGTAAGTCATCCCACACCACCCTGCCTGCTCTGGGGCCCTGAGGTCCCAAGGAGCCAGGCCTGGCTTCGCCACTCGACAGGCGGCTCCAGGGAAATCCTGGTGCTCTGGAAAGACCCCCAGTCCAGAGCCTGCATCTGTGGGATGGAGGGCGCATCACTTACCTCTTCAGGCCTTAGTTCCCTTAGTTCTGTGGTGTTAATAGTCTCCTGTGCTTCCCCACTATCACTCTGTGACTCTGGATCAAAACTACTAAGAAGGAAATAGGCAGTGCCAGGCACTCTGTCATGGTTAGGCTAAGGGACAAAGCTGCTGTACAAGGACATCTCCAGTGAAGGAACATGGGACACAGAAGGAACATCCCAGTGAAGTGAACTGTCCAGGCAGGGGGTTCCTCTGCCCCCCATGGTCATCTGGGGACTAGATTCCCTCTACTTGTTGCTCAATCACCACCATCCTGTAACCTTGGTTCACCCTTATGGTCACAGCTGCTCCACAGAAAGCGCAGTGTGAGAGGGGTGTTAGGGTCTGGGAGCAGGTGTGAAGGGATGGATGTCTAGCACTGAGATTGGGAGGCAGTGCTCTAGGGCAGTACTTTCCCACCTCTGTCAGGAACACTTGAAAAATGACCATGCGTCCTTGGCACCCTAGGAAGAGGGCCTGGGGTGGGGCTGCCTGTGGCAAAGGTGACCAAACAGCAGCTGCCCAAGGACTGAGCTCTGTCTAGGCTTTGCTCCTAAAAGGGGTGGCTGCAGAGAAGGAGAGGGCACAATTGTTGCAGTTAGGAGCACAAGCAGCTGAGGGGCCAGGCCTGGGGCAGAAAGGACAGGATATTGAGGCATCAGGATGCCTCCAGGGAACCAGAGAGAGGAGCTGAGCAGTAGGGAGCCAGGGCCCAGCGCCCATGGAGTGTGGTGATGACAAGAGGGGTGCGAGGAAAGGGGTGCCTTCCACACCAGTGGGTTTTCAGGGAGCAAGGGGACAGGGCATATGCCCAGAGAAGAAACTGAGGATGAACTCTATTTGCTGTCGCCTAGACGAGACCATGAATTGTCAGGGGGACAAAAACATTTTATGAAAGGGTTTCACTAAAAAAAAAAGAAAGAAAGAAAGAAAGAAAGAAAATAGACCAGAATCTAAGGGTACCACAGAACTCCAGGATTTTTCTTGTATTGTGCCAAGTTCCAGGACGTTCTGTTCACAAAGAAGTCATTCTTGAGTTTGATCCTGTTTGAAAGAAAGTCATCTCTTAACAAGAACTCAACTAATATTTATGACTGGCATGTCCAAGGCACCATTCTGTTTTAATAATAAGTGTATTCACTTGTTTAGTTGTCATAAGACCACACGAGTTCATTGCAGTTATTACCCCTTTTAATGCTGAGGAAAGAAAGGAATTGAAAGGCGAAGTACCTTGCCCAAGTCTCATGACTAACAAATGGCAGGGCCAAAATTCCAACTGGGAAAGTGGAGACCCCCCTGTTCCTCACTTCCACATTGGTTTGGAGAAATAAGACTCCTGATATGAATACCTGTGCTTCCTGGAGATATACTAAGTTCTTTTCCTCCTCACCTGCATGGCAGCCACCATGCCCGCATCCATGAGAAGGGGATAAGGAACCTGCCTTCGCTCTCATCAGACCCAGGTCCCTGTGCTCTCAACCTTCAGCAAAGGGCGGTGGAAGAACGCAGGCTTTGGCCTCAGACCTGGGGGCGCGTGCTTCTGAGGCCTGGCCCTGGGAACCCTAGCACACATGGGTCAGTCATTCCTAGCAGCCTCCTGGCTCTTCACTTCAGGTTTCCATCATTTGTGTGACTGGATCTCTTGACGAATCCCAGGAGGCAGATCAGACTTGATTTTCCCCATTCTGCAGGCCCAGAGCTGACACAGTGGGTTCTGGGTCCACCCCAACCCCAGGCCTGCACTACTTCCAGGGGTCACACTCAGGCCTCCCTTTCCGCGTGAGAGAACCAACCCACAGGCACCAGGCAGCCTCGGCCTTCCTTCCCGGGGTGACTTTATCTGTCCTCTCCAGTGGGGAACCAAGTTGCAGAAACCAACCCAACACCACCTGTCCTTCCCTCTCCTTCCCCAGCCACCTCCACAATGTCATGATCCATCTGCAGCAGGAAAACAAGAAGCTTAAAGATGAGATAGAAGAGAAGAAGCTGAAAACCGGGAAACAGAGGCTGTGCGCCAAAGCCCTGAATCCATGCAAAATAGAGTCCCCACAAAGGGGGAAAGGATATAGTGCCTTTAACTGGAGTGGGGCAACCCATGATGTGAGCCATACCCTGGAGGTCCGCAAGATCATCGGGATACCCCACTGTCCAGGTATGTCTACCCTTTGCTTTTTGCAGTTTGCTCGGATGTCATCTTGTTTAGTCCCATAGGTCAAAAAAAAAAAAATAGCAGTGTGATTTTATTCCTCCAGAGATCACTGGACCTAGAAGAAAACAGATCTTTTGCTTAGCTAATCTGGACCAGAAATAACTGTTTCCTCAGCTGTAGCGAGAAGCAAATTAAGGCTCGTTCTGATCTAAAAATCTTTGACAGCACCCAGTTGCCTCAAATCTCAGCCCTAACCCTTCCCCTGACCCATTCTCCCTTTTGTGAAGTGTGGAGACAAACGGGAAGCATGAAGAATAGGCATCACCCTCCGTTCATGTGTTCTGGAACTGCATAAGAGCACAGACTGGGTCCATGCCTACTATTTTCTGCCCTCTATAGACCCCATATTACCCAAGAAGGAAGAAGTCACCCCATCATGGAGCTGCCTGGCCTTGAGGCCAGTCCTTAGGAATCACCTCATGAATTTCTTCTCCAATCAAGACTGTCCTTTCTTCCCTGTCCCCTCAGGTTCTTCATATTGCTAGAATCGGCCCCTTGCCCCGAGCACATTTTCTACACGAGATTTTCAGAAGACAATGAGTTCCCATCCCTCGCTCCTCACCTGGACCAGCTCTGGTGGAAATATAGCAAGACCCCAGCCTATTTTCAAGCTGCTAACACTTTATGAGTTTTGCCCAATTCCTGCAGTGGAGTGAGCCTTAGCTCACTCCAGGCCCAAACTCTAAAATAAAGACATGAGCACAGCAGCCTCGGTGCACTCTTGGTGTCTTGCGCACATCTCTGCCCCCAGCAACATGTTGATCCCCGTTTTCTTTGGATTCTAAAAGATATAGATCTCTTTCACGTATATAGGGAGTTATGATTCCCAAAGCAAGCTTTTGGATTATATGGATTAGTTTTTAAACCAACAAGAGATAATTAGCTCCTTTTTTATTCTCTCCATCTCTGTCTGGAATTTAAGAAGAAAAAAATCTGAAAACCTCAAAAAGGAAAGTAATCCTCAGACCCAAAAGAAAGGAAGAGAAATAAGTGATGTGTATTCCAAATGGAGGAGGGAGAGATAGCCATCTGCCTTCTCCCTGGCCGCCATATTCCATGCCTCCTTTGAACAATTTTATTTTTCTCCCCAGCCAGCTCAATACAAGTAAAATTCCATTATAAGAAACTCCAAGGACAGCTAAACGATTTTATTGTGGTAGGATTTTGTTTAACTGAGTACCTGTCTGGAATTTATATTTCTAGTCTGTAGAAAACTGAGAGAAATAGCCACTAAGATAAAATAAGAGAAAGAAATGAAAGAGCTTGCCTTATGGGAGGCAGGGAGGGAACATAGGACAAGCAAAGGAGGAAACCCTCCTTTTTGTCATAGTTCTTAAATATTCTTGCCACCCTCCCCGCCAAATAAAAGCCAAGAAAATTCACTGCTAATGGCAACATCCTATATATTATATAGGATATTATATAGGATGCCCCTGCCAGGCCTTGGGAAAGGCAAGTTCCTAAGTTTAGCTTGAGGCAGGAGTGACAGGCATCTCTAGTAGTTTCTGTCGGGTTGGTTGTTGTCAATTTATGCTCCTTGGACTGTGTTCCCCATTTGGTTTAGAATAAGGATATATTTTCCAGAGAAAACAAAAACTGAAGAATCTGGTACTAATGAAATGGCTTCCTAGTTCTCACCTTTGACCCATTTATATTCAAAATCATCACAATCCCCAGTACAATTTACTAAAAAAGCATTTTGTTTCCATAATTTGCAAAAATGTTTTCATTTATTTGGCCAAAGTGACAACTAGATGCTTTGAATGTTGTATATTTTTCTCAAAGTTCTTTCACTGCCTATGAGGTGATTATACGAGAGCAAAGCAGGTCGCCTATAATGGCGAGCAGAGGAGCAGCAGAGCTGGAGAAACACCTGCACATCTCCCAGCAGCCTGGCCTTGCAAGCCCAGACAGCCAGCAGACCTGCTGGAGTAGGAGGACTGGACTTAGGGAAATCTAGTTCCTCTGAAGACCAGTAAAGGACAGTGAGTGTTGCCTGTTATTCTTTAAGAAATAATGAAAAGGAGGGAGTTCCTGGGCCTCCCTGGTGGTGTAGAGGTTAAGTCTCAGCACTATCATGTTATCACCGCTGCAGTCCTGGCCGGGGAGCTACCCATACAGCGCAGCAGACCTCTCCTGTCTCACCCGCTGCTCCCTCAGCAGTGTATTTCAATCAGTCTGCCTGTTCTGTTCCCCACTCTGTCTCTGGTGAATCTTCTCAACCTCCACACCTCTGGCCTGTACCCCAGTTCTTGTAGGCATAAATAAATAAATCTTTAAAAAAAAAAAAAAGAAGGGAGTTCCTTAAAAGGTAGTTTGAACAGCTGACATTTTTTAATGTCATTTATTTTTAGAAATGATCTCTATATGATACTATAATGGTAGATGCATGTCCTTGTACATTTGTCCAAACCTGTAGAACATGGCCAGTGGACTTTGGGCAACTACCATGTCTCACTGTAGGTTCATCAACTGTAACAAATGTGCCTCTTGTGCTGGATGCTGATAATGGGGAGCATATATGGGGGCTGGGGGCATGTGGGGAATCTCTGTGTCTCCTGCTCAGTTTTGCTATGCACCTAAAATTGTTCCAGCAATTAACAAAAAAGGAAAAGAGAACTGTTTATGAAGCTACGACCCAGCCAAGGGGATTGTAAATAAGTGCCTCGGCCACCGAGTGGGAGGATATCACTCAGATTCTGATACGAGGGCCTATACAATCCTTTGAGAGGCAGATCCTCTTCTACCAACCTGAGTACAGATCTTCTCCCACTGAGTTAAAGGAACCCAGAGCAAACACCAGCCACATCATCCTGTTGCTAACTAAAGAGATGGGGGCTCCCAGGACCACCACTTTGCCACACAGGCACTTGACTTTGGGCACTCTTTCCACAGCCCAACTGAGGAGGAAATTTCCCGCCAGTGACAGGACCTAGCAGGCAGGTTCTGAGGTCCCCAGCATGAGCCCCTCAGCTGTGTGTCTAAAGTCTCCTGTTCCCATCAACAGGGTTTTTTTTTTTTTTTAATTTATTTATGCAGACAAGAACTGGGGTACAGACCAGAGGTGCAAGGGGTGAGAGGATTCATGAGAGAGAGTGGGAAACAGAACAGGCAGACTGACTGAAATACACTGCTGAGGGGAGCAGCGGGCGAGACAGGAGAGGTCTGCTGCGCCATGTGTGTCACCTCCCTGCCCAGGGATGGAACTTGTGATGCAGTGGCTACAGATAGCTTCATAGTGTTTGTGACTTAGACCCCTGTGACACCAGGGAGGCCCTCCATCAACAGGTTTTAAAAGCCAGGCAGGGCACCCCCTTATTTCATGTCAAGAAGTCTGAAAGCCAGTCTCAGGACCCACTTCAGGGCTTTTGTACCTCTAGAAAAAAAAAATAACAGCTGTCATCTGAGGAAAAGATGGTACATAGCATTAAAGCCAGAAGGGACTTTAATGTGACTCTCTCTGCAAACAGTCCATAATTAAGAAGAAAACTATGGAGTCACAGGTCCAGCCAGACTCAGGCAGATTCAGGTAGAGTTGTTGGGGGTGCTCCCACACTCCCACACTTATCTGTGGCACCTGTGTGCCAAGTGTCCTATGCTGGGTGTTCCTGGCTTTTAAATTAGAAGGGTGGATTGGAGGTTTTCTTAACCCTCCTGACCTCATTTTTTTTTATCTAAGGGAACTGAAGGTCATTGGGGTCACAGCTAGTGAAGTCCTTAAATAGAACCTCCATCTTTTACCCATTTGTGGCAACCCCGGCCCACATCTGTATAGATGACATACCCAGCTCACTTCTCTCCACAGAGCAGGTAGACATTTCCTAGTCCTGCAAATCCAGGCCAAAGGTAGAAGCCTTCCCAGGGAAACAGCCAGAGACCTCCTTTCACTCAGACCTGTGAGAAGTCAGCATTCCCAATCAACAATTAGAGATGAGGAAAAAAAGAATGCAAGTGGAGTTGGTAGCTGGTGCTGACTGACGAAGCCTGGCTTCCAAGTCACCCATAAAATTGACTTAAATTTTAAGTTAGAACAGACAGAAACTCAGATCCCATGAAGAGTGACAACAGGAAAGAAACCAGCCCTCCACCCTGCGTGTGAGCACAGCATCAGGGCCCAGGCAGGGGCCTGGCCTAGATCAAAATGATTGAGCCTCCAGCCTGTCCTCACAACCCCCATGCTTGGCAGAAACGCAACTCTAAGGAATCACAAAAATGAGAACCATGGGTTGACTCAAATGTCTGAATAGCCCAAACGTGGGCTTAAGAGGCTGCTTAGCAAGACTAGTGATTTGTGTGTAAGGGTGATTTGCAAGAATCTTTATTGCAAAAATCAATTAAGCAACATTTTACACTATTTTTCCCTTAGTACATGCAGCCCTGACACATGCAGAGTAGAGACTTCTGCCATCTTGAGCAGAGTGACCCCTTAAAAGCTACCAGCCCTCCTCTAGGGAGGGGCAGAAGGCAGGTGGCTGCTCCCTCCCTCCCTCCCTTCCCAGCCATGGCAGATGGCCTGCCGGGGCTGGAGGGAACATCCATCCTCCTCCTCTGTCAGGACTGTCCTACCCTGCAGACCCCTTCTCCAAGAGGCACTTCCTGGAGAACAGGAGTAAGGGCAGCTAAAACCGGTTCTAGGAGGATCCACTGGAGGACACTCAGGTTCTGCCTGCCTGGTGGTAACAGGACTTTAGACATGTTAGAAAGGTCAGGAGCTGAGGGTCTCAGGCTGGCAGGGGGGCTCATGCTGGAGACCCCAGAGGCTGCCTACCAGGCAGGAAGCTTCCCCCTCAGCTGGCAGCACAGAAGGGGGCTCAAAAGGCAAGTGTCTACGTCCTCTCATATCATGTGATTTAGGGCAGTGAGGGGAAAAGGAACAGTCAAAAATGCAATAAAATTTTATAAACAATAAATTTATTTGCAAACCCTGGATTATAACGAAATTACAATTCCCTCTAGGTCCATTTTGCTGCTTTAAACAAGAATTTTTAAAAAAACATAGTCATGGCCAGTCACTGATACATCAAGTGTCCCACGGACAGTTTATTTGGACATGATGGGCCCAATCACCTCCCGCTGCTCTAGCAGATTCTAGGCTGTGCGGTGGCCCTGCCCCTTCAGAGCTCCTGCACTGAGGAACTCCTGGCCTCAGCTGGAGCATCACCAGGGACCATGATGGACTCAGAGGAAAGCAGAGATGAAAGGTTTAATGGCAGGCCCGGGTGCTCCAGCCACAGGGCTCACGGCTGAGTAGTGTGAAGAGTGTGGCTCCCACACTCTTCAGCAACAGCCCCAGCTCACAGCCCAAAGCGGGCTGGTGTGCGACGAGGGGTCATGGGTTCCCCTTGCTCTTTCCGACCTGGAGTGTAGATCTTGGTAGACCTAGAGACACAGAAAGAGATCAGGAATCACAGTGCCGCTCATTCCAACCAGGATGCACAGTAGGACAAGGAACCTGGGGC